GGTGCCATTGCGGCACAGGAGCTCCGCTGGCTGACCTTCTTGCTCACAGACTTAGGTGAGCGGCCTAGCCCTGCCCCAGTTCTGTACGCTAACAACAGGGCCATGATCCTCTAGTGTCAGGAGCCTCGACTTGAGGGCAGAGCGAAGCACATCTAGTTGTGGTACTTCCTCCTACACGAGCTACAGCAGCGTCGCCAGGCCTGCGTAGTACACCTGGCCTCTGGTGCCAATACAGCTGATAGCTTTACTAAGGCGCTTGCGCCTGAAGATTATCAGCGGCACTGTGTACGTCTTGGTCTAGTTCTTGTAGCTACTCACTTTCTAGGACCTTGATTGTGTACTCCTCTTTATATATACCTTTCTGACTGGCCTTGTGGCTTCGCTTCCAGTGGCCGGACTAGTAGTGCCACCCTGGTTTGCTCTTTTCTTGTTTGTACTCTTGCTGACCTGTTTTTGGACCCCTGCCTCAGAGGTTGGACTAGTAGTGCCACCCTGAGCTGCATGGTTCTTGCTCAGCACTGCCCCTTATCTAGCCTAGGGGGTGTGTCAAGCTATACATATGTTTGTATGTAGAAGTTATAGGCTAGATAGGTTTGTGTTCTTACGAGGTACAACTCCAACCCTATATCTCCTTTGTTCTCACTTGTTTCTAGTCATTCTGCTATTCTAACAGATTTATGTCATGGATGATGACATGTAAAATTTTAGAGCACGATTCAATTGGATCAGCTGCTAATGGCGCGTTGCAATCAAACACGAAATTTGCCGAAATCTGACAGTAGAATTTCTGTTGGAAGTATCAGCAATAATCAAGCTACACTGAGGGAAAAAACCGTCCGGATGTTTGGCAATAAGTTGGGTTTTTAGGCTTTGAGACTACTGTATGGTAAACCTGCAAGATGCACGGTGGTACATGTTGGGAGAGGCACAAAGTGGATGCGTTCACAGCACTAAGAACTAGAATAGTACATTGGATCTAACTCATACTCCAAAAGATATACAACGAGTACATCCGGACAGTTTTTTCCCAGGACAAAGAGCAAACTTCCGAACAACGTTTCTAGTACCTAGTCCACCTACTCTTGGCGTTGATCACCATCCACACCCTCCTAGGCATGTTATCTATGTGGTTAGTGCAGACCTTTGCATGAAGCTTCTTGCACTCTTCCTTGACCCACCATTTTGCATAAGGGGGTGAGCACAAGGAAAATTGCGAAGTATTTGAGCGTATGCATAAGTATTGTGCACGAATTCAGATTGAATGTAATCTCTGAGACTAGCCAAGCCGAGGGGTGTCCAAAGATGCCATTACTTGAATGGTCCCGGCTTATCATGGGTTGTTTTCGTCGAATCAGAGTAGGGTGAAATCACGTATAGAGTGGCAAAATCTAGCATACCCGCCACGAAACTTAGGGTAACCGAGCACGGTCGATTGAGCATCCTTTCATTGTTAGAATCATGTTAAAATCCGCGAGTCTAGTGACAGTGCATCAGTTGAAGAAGTCTCGACTGTTTGGGAAGAATATCAGGGTTGAGGTCTGGTGAGGAAGAGGGGCACTCCAGAGCTACATATCCATGCTCTCCGAGCCATTCCAAGCCTAGGCAGGGAAAATGACATGGAATGCCTTGGAGAGCATAAGTATGTTGCGCTGGAGTGACCCTTTTTCTCACCAGACCTCAATCCAGATATTCTTCCCAAACAGTCGAGGTTTCTTCGACTGCTGCCCCGTCACTAGACCCGCGGATTTTAACATGGTTCACACAGTGAAAGGATGTTCAGTCGACCGTGCTCTGTTACCCTAAGATTCGTGGCGGGAATGCTAGATTTTGCCACTCTATTCGTGATTTTACCCTAGAACGATACGACGAAGACGACCCATGATAAGCCGGGACCATTTAACTAATGGCATCTTTGGCCACCCCTCGGCTTGGCTAGTCTCTGAGATAACATTCATTCAGAATTTGTGTACAATACTTATGCATACGCTCAAATACTTTGCAATTTTCCTTGTGCTCACCCCCTTATGCAAAATGGTGGGTCCAGGAAGAGTGCGAGAAGCTTCATGCAAAGGTCTGCACTAACCCCATAGATAACATGCCTAGGAGGGTGCGGATGGTGATCAACGCCAAGAGTAGGTGGACTAGGTACTAGAAACGTTGTTCGGAAGTTTGCTCTTTGTCCTGGGAAAAAACTGTCCGGATGTACTCGTTGTATATCTTTTGGAATATGAGTTGGATCCAATGTACTATTCTAGTTCTTAGTGCTGTGAACGCATCCACTTTGTGCCTCTCCCAACGCGTACCACCATGCATCTTGCAGGTTTACCATACAGTAGTCTTAAAGCCTAAAAACCCAACTTCGTGCCAAACATCCGGACGGTTTTTTCCCTCAGTGTATCTTTCAAAGATTGCATATATATTACAACAAAAATGTGATTTACTAATTGCATCAGGAGGAAGTCCAAAAATATGGTTCGATTTTGCACCGTATTCCCCCGGATTTAACACCCGATGGAGTTAATCACCCATGGGTGGTTTGGGTGGACCAGGATGCTTTATTAAACTGGATATTCATACCACCCTGGCATGAAACCTATACGCCACCCCCCTGGTTCATTTTCACTATATTTGTTTAGATTTTGCCTCTTATCAGAGTCTCTTTATCAGACTCGCGCATCAGTGAGTAGTGCAAGCTCCACGCGAATTGGTTCAATGCGGTGTAGAAGTGTTACCATGCGTGGAATTCTCGTCACTCATGCGATTGTTGCGAGTCTGATACGAGGCTCCTGGGAACACACTCCCCACAGTCAACACTGCAACGCGGGAGAATCCATGTCGGTCTGCCCTGGTTGGGTCATGAAGGAATCTGCAGCAGATTCCTTCCGGCTTTGGTGCGCTGTCACATTGTGGCGTCAAGGTTGCCACTTACCACCACGATCTGGTAGAACGTGACAACCTGTGACGCAGGCAACCTGTGACTGTTTGCCTGCATTGTGGCATGATGATGGTCCTCCTCACCATATACGTGATCATGTGCAGGAATCGTCAAAATTTGGCACAAAAGAACAATCTTCAATACAGTTCAATTCCACTTCATAAACATAAAATTGTCATTCCATAGCCCCCGGGCGTTATACAAAATGTGCCATTAATTATACCCCCTCGAAAATTTGCATGGGTTTTTACTAACACCCCTGGGTGTTTTATACGGGGGAATACGGTAGGTAGTGTTTCTAATTCTCAAATCCGTGTGAAAAAAGAATCGGCAAAATCGATCGCAATAGGTTGCTCCGCAACCCAAAAACTGGCAGCGGAAGCGTTGTGCTTGATTGTTGAGCTTATAAGATTGATTAAACAAAACAAAAACAAAAAAACCTTGAATGATACCTGGATTCTATAATAGTACATAGGAAGATGAAAGGCATTGCTAGCCATGTACTCTAAATGGATACATCCTGCATTCCACAGATATGGTCTACGTAAACCTGCATTCCTGCATTTTAACTGTACTAATACAGTACACTCATATAGACATGCTCGGCATAAACTTTTAGTGTAAGCATGTTAAAATTATATAAGTTATAATTTAATATAGGCTTGGTAGGTTGTTACTGAACCTTTCTGTAGGGGGTACAAACCCCTCCTTGTATTCCCCTCTCTTCCTAATCCAACTACCTTTCTTCTCGACATTCCCTCCCTTCCTAGATCCGTTTTTCCTCACGCCATTCCATGGCGGTCTTCTTCCTAGTATCCTAGCCAACCTAGCCTCCTAAGTTTAAGAACCTTTAGTCCTAAGTTTCTAAGATGGTATCAGAGCCGGTCGTGTCCACCGGACCCTCTCCCTACGTTCCCGTTGCGTACTCCTACTGCATTCGCAGCCTTCGCGGTTTTCTGCCAGCCTGCCGTCGCGGCGCCAGGATGTCGCGACGGCCCCTTGGTGCCTGCCGTCGCGGCACCAAGATGTCGCGACGGTCCCTCGTTGCCTGCCGTCGCGGCGCCAAGGTGTCGCGACGGCCCCTTGTTGCCTGCCGTCGCGGCACCAAGATGTCGCGACGGTCCCTCGTTGCCTACCGTCGCGGCGCCAAGGTGTCGCGACGGCCCCTTGGTGCAGCCGTCGCCCGTCCGCCTCGCCGCTGCGACATTGACGGTGCGCTGTGGCGGCGTCTGCGGCAGCCGACGGCATCGTCGGGCTGCGGCCGGCCGAGCGACGTCTGTGGCGTCGCCGGGCCTGCCGCCCGCTCGCCACAGACGGGCGTCCCTCAGGACGACGTCCTCCCGCCAGTAAGCGCCGCGCCATTTATGGCGCGTCGCTGAAGACTCGCCTCGCCCCGCCCCCTCCCTTCCCCCCCCCCCCCACCTGCACCTGCTTCCCCTGCATCCCCCCCTTTCTTGCTGCAGCCGATCACTGCCATGTGAGGGACCTCTCCACCGCCGAGGAGACAGGACATGCCGCCGAGAGGGCGGGGGCCGCCGCACCAGCCTCTGTCGTTCGAGCCCCCCGGCGCCGCCGCTGTTGCCGCAGGCCTGGAGCCGCCGCACACCGCCGCCGCCGCCGCTGTCGTCACTGTCGCTGCTGCCGCCATTGCCGTCTCAAGGGGCCGTGAGACCTACCCTCTTTCGGCGTCGTTTCGGCTGCTGCTGGGAATGGGGGTGCTGGGCTAGGGGGTGTGGGTGTGGGTGTGGGTGTGGGGGTGTGCGTGGGCTTGACACTACCAAGCCTAGGGGGTGTGTTAAAATTATATAAGTTATAATTTAATATAGGCTTGGTAGGTTGTTACTGAACCTTTCTGTAGGGGGTACAAACCCCTCCTTGTATTCCCCTCTCTTCCTAATCCAACTACCTTTCTTCTCGACATTCCCTCCCTTCCTAGATCCGTTTTTCCTCACGCCATTCCATGGCGGTCTTCTTCCTAGTATCCTAGCCAACCTAGCCTCCTAAGTTTAAGAACCTTTAGTCGTAAGTTTCTAAGAAAGCATGCATGGCCATTTCGTGGTAATCGTTTTCGGACCCTAATTTACTACTGCACTCCATCTTTCGTTCTAAGCGTGACCAATTCCTCACCGACTATTCCTCCATTAAGCATTTCCCCACACGAGAACTAGAAATGTCAGGGGTGCATACGGTTGTCGCAACGGGCATCTTCTCCAGGCACTCAAAGCCGTTCATCTTCCTGTAGCAGCCCTTGATGCTGGCAAATCCCTTCACATCAATCATGGCACAGCTGTCTCCAGCTGCAACACTGTAGTTTGCCCGTGGGCATGAACCAATCTTGTACTGGGTGCTGCTGTGAATGCACACCTGCAGGAAAGGCCAAGAAAGTAAAATATTAGAAAGAAATGTTATTTAGCTATTCAACTGAGGCTGTGCGCCCCATCCCATATCAGTACTCACTGTGCGCTGTGAGTAGCCCTCAATCGAGGCAGTCGGCAGGCGGGTGTTGCAGTTGATGCCGGGGTTGAGGCGGTGGAACTCCAAGGGGCTCAGAGGTGGATCCACGGCCATCCTTGCAGCATCGCAGCCGCCACTGCCCTGCACCTCGTACTGCTGCTCACACACTGCCACCACCCCCGCCTTGCTCTCCTCCCGCTCCACACACACGGCCTGGCTGCCCGTGAGCGCTGCACAGTCCAGCCCAGGGTTGAGCCCCACCACCGCCTCCCCGCATGCCTCGCCCTCCACGGGGCACCCCTCGGTCAGATTAAAGAGCGCTGCCACTGAGGCACAGCTGTCGCCCTGCGCACACAGCAGATTTTTTTATGGAATAGCAGCCTGTTTTTAGTGTAAAGAGTAACCAACTTGAAAACAGTTCATGAGGACACACTCACAGTCCTGTCCATGCAAGCAGCAGCAGGGTGAGGGGCCAGCTGCAGTGTGGGGTGGGCGCACTCACATGATGGGTGGTGTAAATGAGAGAGCAGCGGGGAAGAGGCTGAAGCGGCTTGACATTCAGCTTGGAGTTCACTAGGATGGGCTTGGTGCAGGAAAGCTTCTGCAGACATGAGGGAGGGAAGGCTGACTGGACATGAGATACTGTAGCTGCTAGAGTGGTGGACCACATGATATATGATAGGCACATGATTTATGATAGGCACATGATGTATGATAGGCACATGATGTATGTTAGGCACATGATGTATGATAGGCACATGATGTATGATAGGCACATGATGTATGTTAGGCGCATGATGTATGATAGGCGCATGATGTATGATAGGCGGGTGATGTATGATAGGCACATGATGTATGATAGGCGCATGATGTATGACAGGCGCGTGATGTGTGATAGGCACATGATGTATGATAAGCGCATGATGTATGATAGGCACATGATGTATGATAGGCACATGATGTATGACAGGCACATGATGTATGTTAGGCACATGATGTATGATAGGCGCATGATAGGCACATGATGTATGATAGGCACATGATGTATGATAGGCACATGATATATGATAGGCACATGATGTATGATAGGCGCATGATGTATGAGAGGCGCATGATGTATGAGAGGCACATGATGTGTCATAGGCGCATGATGTATTTTACGTGCATGATGTATGATAGGCACATGATTTATGATAGGCGCATGATGTATGATAGGCACATGATGTATGATAGGCACATGATGTATGATAGGCACATGATGTATGATAGGCGCATGATGTATGATAGGCACATGATGTATCATAGGCGCATGATGTATGATAGGCACATGATTTATGATAGGCGCATGATGTATGATAGGCGCATGATAGGCACATGATGTATTATACGTACATGATGTATTATACGTACATGATGTATGATAGGTGCATGATGTATGATAGGCGCATGAGGCATGATAGGCACATGATGTATGATAGGCACATGATGTAGACCTGAAAACGAGTAGACTGTATTCGAATTCGGACGAATATCAAATACAAATCGAGTCTATGTGGCTGTTCAAACTCGCCAAAACTTGACTTCCGATATTCGACTCGAATTTGTATTCACCCAGCCATAACTCGAGTACTCGTTTTAGTACTCAAGTTTGGACATACCTGGCTCCTACGAGCATTTCATTGCCTTGCATCAAAGGTCCTAATGCTTTTGTTGTTACACGATGATGCTAAAAAGCTTCACTTGCCACTTGTACAACCCCTCCGATTTCTCGTGCAAACCTGCAAGCACGGCAACACCCAAAAAACCGACGACGAACTCCAAGGGTAACTTCACAAAGCTTGTAAACGCTCGTATGCCCAAAACTCGAGTGCATTCGTATTCGATTCGGACTCGACTCTATTCGACTCGTAGTCGTATTCAAATTCCAAGCACAACTCGAACAAACAATTTGTATCGTGATATTTGACAACTATTCGAATGTGGAACTCGAACTCGAATTCGTATTTGGCTCTTCAGGTCTAATATGATGTATGATAGGCACATGATGTATGATAGGCACATGATGTATGTTAGGCGCATGATGTATGATAGGCGGGTGATGTATGATAGGCACACGATGTATGATAGGCACATGATGTATGATAGGCGCATGAGGTATGATAGGAACATGATGTATGATAGGCACATGATGTATGATAGGCGCATGATGTTTCATAGGCGCATGATGTATGATAGGCACATGATGTATGATAGGCGCACGATAAGCACATGATGTGTGATAGGAACGCTGTGAATGATAAGCACATGATGTATAATAGCTGCACGATGTATGATAGGCGCATGATAGGCACATGATGTATGATAGGCACATGACGTATTGTAGGCACATGATGTATCGTAGGCACATTATGTATGATAGGCACATGATGCATGATAGGCACATTACGTCACCAACCTTGTTCTGCTGCTTGAGTTGGTCCAGTGTGAGGCCAAGCACAGGAAGCAAGTGAGAGCACCAGACATTGCTGCCACGCACCGTATAGATGCCCTTGCTGTCACCTGCACGCACCAGGATGCACATAGGCACAAAAGGAATCGCAGCATAGCATGCAGTAGCTTTATTCGTCTTCCAGCATCACTACCCCTCCCTTTGGCCATGGCCGTTTTTTTGCAGCTGTTTCCCAACATGTGATATGCCGTCAGGTCAGCGACACTGATGCTTATATGAACAAGGAACAGAGGAGGAACGAGGAGCAGTGGTACCTGGTGCACAGGAGAGGGTTCCCTTGGCAGTGGTGCCTTGAACGAACCCCGGGGGACACACACAGGAGTAGCTGCCCCTACCATCGTTCACACACGTGCCCACCACACACGGGTTGCTGCCTGCCAGCCCACAGGCGTCCACTGGAAGGGGCATGCGGGGCAGAGGGAGGGGGATGGAAGGCGATATTGGGGAAGGGAAGTGGAAAGGGCCTGAGGCGAAGTGAGATGGACGGATGGGAAGGGCTCACCATAGGCGCATGTTTTTGACCCGTCGGAGTGAGGGGCTTCCACGAAGTGGGGAGCAGCACAGGCACAGCGGTTGGATGCTCCGGCCTTGGAGCACTTGAACTGCCCACAGGGGTTGAACGCGCTGCTTGCTGCCACTCCGGCTGGTGGTACGAGCATCATGGAGTTGCTGCCACACGGGTCAGCAGCAGCTGCCAGGGAGGGACACACCGTGCAGCACAAGCAGACGAGGAAAGCTGTGTGGCAGGAACATCATGCACATGCATAGAACGTCCGGTTAATAGTGCATGTGATAGTCCGGCTCAAAATTTGCCAAAACATAGTGCATTGTGTTTAACAAACCCGTCATGTCCCTATTCTATGTTCAAGCCAGCTTCAATGACTCTCTAACAAAAGTCCGTAGTGTGGTGCTGCTCATGCAGGAAAATACGCACATCTGAGGATGGGGAAGAGGCCAGGCAGTGTGTTGATGCCACAGATGCCAGGGCCGCTCTGCATGTCCATGAACATGTGGCCTGCAGCCCCCCATTCGCTGCCCCACGAGTTGCGGATGACCCACAGAGGCGCCGGCAGGCTGAAAGGGCTAGAGCTGCTCCCCTCGACACCGTAGCCCACCACCAGAACTGCGTGGTTCACTCCCTTTTGGAAGCAGCTGCCATCTGCATACTTGTATTTCTGGTAGGATGGCAGCATGGGGTAAGAATGGAGGTATGTCGGAGTTGGGAAAGCGCTGGATAAAGTTCATACCTGGATTCATCCACCCGTGGGCTAGAGCAAAAGACCTCCGTTGTTTCTACCAGACAGCTGCACAACACATCCAAATCCTCAAATCCTGCATTCAACTAGAGGAGTAAAAAAATGGCCTGAAACTCGCCCCCTCTTCAGTTTGCAGATGTTTGGACTCGGCGAATCTTTGGGCACACAAAGGATTCGAACTGATTTTGCTGCTAGGTTGAAGAAACTCGGGAGGGGGCGGGGTTATGCTGTGATGCCACAAATGAATGAAGTGCACCAAACCTCCAACGAAAAGATAGAGCGTCAACGAACTTAGAACATCAAGGCCTAGCGCCTTGCAGTTACCTTTGAGCACTTGGAGTTCTCAAACCGACCATTTATCAACCTGATGATTTCCCATCTGTATAGGGGATTGGCCACGTTGAGAACCCACAGAAGCACTCTACGACATTCCACCTTAAAAGACTTACTCAGCCCAGGTGCGTGTTCACAGAACCACAAAGCAAAGCCATGTGCTAGATGTAATACTGGGTGCATGTGCACAGAAATGTAATGCTAGACCTTGATATTCCTTCCAAGACACAGGTTTAAAAAGCTGTATTCGGCTCAAAGTAAACCTGGCCTAGAGCCCAGGAAAAGGGGTTATGAAAGGTTATATCCCAATAGGGTCTCTTATGTAACTGATTGCATAGCACCCTGTCACAGCATGACCCCTCACCCCATCACAGCAGGGCCACTCACCCCATTGTAGTCGAGGAACGATGGTGTGGATGCCTCTAGTCTCACAACCACTGGCTGCCGCTGCACTGCCAGCAGCAGCCCCAGCCACCCGCCAAACGAGGTCTCCTCAAAGCCTTGAATTCCGTAGTACTTGGGCTTCTGCAGAGCAAGAAAGACAGGAGGACAGGTTGTGAAGAACAAAACAGGATAAGGTGAAAGAATGGAAGGAGGTCTCTTGTTGTCTAGAAATTAGAATGCTAACTCGACATGAGATATCACGAATAGACAAGGACATGGGTAGCAGTGAACGTGTGGTGATAAGAGCCTGTCAATCCTTCCACGTGCTTCCCTTCCACCTTCCTCTTCATCACTTGCCATCTTACAATATCCAGAATGTCCACTCCTCAGCCAGACATACCTGCAGCCTCTCCCGCCAACTCGCCTTGCCTCACCTGCAGCCTTTCCCGCCAACTCGCCTTGCCTGACCTGCAGCCTCTCCCACCTACTCGCCTTGCCTCACCTGCAGCCTCTCCCGCCGGCCCGCGGACGGCAGGCTGCGTTGACTGGAGCCCGCTGCTGCTGCCTCATCCACGAGCCCCCCTCCCTTGCGCGTGGCAGCCGCCAGGAAGGCCAGCACATCGCGGGGAGACATGTCGTCGCAGTTGGATGAGAGGGCCCCGCGCACATGCTCCACAGACAGCCGGGGGGGTTGGAACAAGTTGCCCATGATGCTGTAAGCCGCCTCCACTGCTGCCACCACTGCGTACACAGAGGATTCAGCTGCAGCCCAGGGAGGAGAGCACAGGGAGGAGGAGGATAGCAGGTGACGGTGGTGGTGTGCGTGCAATGGTGGCAGCTTGCTAGCTACTGGATGCTGTTGAGTGCCGTATTGAATGGTTCTGCTGTAGTGAATGGTTCAAACGGTTACCTTTGAAGCTCATCTGCCATATCATTTGACCGTTGGCAGATCATATATGCGGAATGCCTGTGCTGCATTGGTTGCTAGGGAGCAATGCACATGTGAATCTGGTCGAGGATCAGAAGAGAGGCAGTCTACTGTGAAGGGTCAGTGACAGATCACGTGGTCACATCCCTGCCACACTACGTCCATGCCAGCATCCACGCCATTACCATGCAATACCGTGTCCATACCATACCCCCTCCATGCCATACCGCATCCATGCTGGTTATTCACAGGCCATGTTGACTCGTCTCGCATCCAAGACACATATGGAGGAAGGTCCCATGATGGCAGCCCGTCAGCATTGGGGAGGAAGGCAATGCTGGCATAGTGGAATGAAGAGGGCACCATCTCGCCCTCACTGCCTGCTGCCATCTCTTCCCTTGATGCCACCATCCCGAATGCACTACCTGGTGGTTCACCGGGTTTGAATGAGGAGAATGTGGAAATATATGCTACTCTGGACATCATTAACAGATCTTTAAAATAAATTGAATTCTAGAGAAAGGACTGCCAGTTTCAAGCCCAGAGCGAGGTGCCAAACCGCCCACACCAGTGATGATACTCTCTTACCAGGAGTCTGACTCTTCCAGTCCACTGCAGGTGGTATGCCTGCACCGAAGAATGTGCAAATGCATAGACGTGCACATGCACACGCAATGCACACACGCATGAGCACACACACATGAACACGCACACGCAAGCACGCAGACACACACACATACACACACGCGCGCGCGCGCATGCACGCACGCACACTCGGCCGCCCCCCCCCCCCCCCAGCCCCCCCCCCAGCCCCCCCCACCCACCCACCCACACACACACACACACACACACACACACACACACACACACACACACACACACACACACAGAGAGAGAGAGAGAGAGAGAGACACACACACAATGAGATTTGCAATATCCAAAGAAAACCAACACTAGCTATGGGAACCAAAGGCAACCATAGCGGAGCAAGCAAAACTCCTTGGAGGCGGCATGAAGCCAACACAGTATCACAACATCTGCCCGCTCACCTGTCTCAATGTTCCACCAGAGGATGTCGTGCCTCTGAGTCTTGTTCGCAGAGGCAGCCACGAAGCCAAAGAGGAAGGAGGCATCGCCCAAGGAGGGCTTGAGCGCGCTGCACAGAGTCAATCTCGCCGTCAGCAGAGGCTTTAAGGGCTGCTGCCTGGATGCTGAGAGGAAGACTCGGAGAGTGCCGCCGCTGGTGGGGTCATAGTGGATCCAGGCGTGCTTGGTTTGGGCGTCGTTGAGGATGAGAGGGGCCGTGGCAGAGGCGAGGGACACAGGTGAGCCGCCCACATTGACGCCCACGTGGTTGTCGTTGGGGTCGCTGTGCTTCACACTCAGCACCGAGTCAAACTCCACTCCCACACTCCGCTTTCCCACTCCCCCCAGCCCCACACTAGCTGCAGCCCCCTGCGGTGCAGCTGAAGTCACCACAAACGCCAGGCCCTCCCCTCTGGTGCTGCTGCTGCCACCACCTGCACCGGCAGCAGCAGTAGCAGCAGGGGACATTCGGAAGGCGAAGTAGACGGAGAAGGCAATGGGCTGGTCGCAGGGCGCCTTGCGGGTGGTGGGGCGGAAGAGGGCAATGGGCTGCTGTGTGAAGGCTGCTCCCCATGATGCAGTGGATGGCGCAGAGGAGAGGAAGATGGAGCCGTTGGGGGCAGAGGAGGCCGACTGGAAGAGAGCCATTGGGTGCGAGTAGGAGGAGAGGAGGGAGGGCATGTAGGAGCCTGTAACACGAAGTGTGGGGCAGATAAAAATTGGCATGTTGGGGGATTGAGATGAAGCTGGCAACGTGAAAAGGTGGGTGGAAATGTTTGATGTGTGATCAAGGATAGTGTGTGGTGTGGCACGAGGGGACACATGTGTGGCACGAAAGTTGCACGCCTCATACCGGCATGAGTGCAAGCATGGTCACATAAGTGGGTACAGATCGGTGATGGACGTCAAAAACCAGTGCACAGACACAAGAGGCAAGTGAAGCAAAAAAAAAAGTGAAGTGCTGATCCACCAATGGAGGGTACACGGGAGCCAATACACGGACAAGTGGGAATGGTAGTGCGCTTGCCATACCTTGTGGGACACATGTTTCGACAGCCGTCCCACTCGTGTACCCATAGTCACAAGCACACGAGAGATCAGTGCTTGGAGGGGTGTAGTAGCATGCTCCATGGCCGCTACAAGGGGGGTTGAACACCTCGGTTCCACAGAACCACCTGCACCAATCGGCACTCTTCTGGGTTTGCTGGCTGTCGCAGAGGGTGAGATTAATGGGAAAGCAGTTGTAATCCAGGTACAGCTGGTACGGGGGGCATGCTGGAGGGGCTTCTGCTGCACCGGTGAGGAAGTTGAAGCTTGCAGCCACGGCCTTGAGGGAGGGCATGAGCTTCAGAGAGGGAAGGTTCCCCACCAGCTGGTTGTATCCCAGGATGCTGTGCCAGATAAAAACGGCAGAGGGTGGGGAGGGGGCATTGTGGCGCTTGTGAGTTATATGAATTGCTGTGAGGGGGCATATCGAAGGCAAGCAGGCATTATGAGGGGCACAACGAAAGATAGCAATAAGTGAGTGGGGAACAGGCGGCTCATCAGGGGAAGAGAAGAAAGAGCAGGGCCCACAGGTTCAGAGCAAGATCTGGAATGCGGTGGAAGCATATGAGAACGAGGGAGCGTAAGGTGCACATGGTGAATGAATGATCTCCAGTGACTTGCGATTGTTTCCATGTGAACTGAAAAAGGCCGAGGGGGGTAAAACCCGTGGATGCATGGAAAGTCATTGCATGCTTACAAGTACTTGAGGCTGGTGAGTGTGCTGAATACTGCAGGTATTGTCCCCCTAAGGAGGTTCTCGGACAGAGACCTGGAGACAGGTTGAAGAACAACAAAGAGCATATGAAATCTCACAAGTCTAAATAAATATTGAGAGCAACATCCACTCCATGTGAGCAGATCAATATGCTATATTTTATTTCTTAGCTGCTCTCACCTCGAAGTCGAGCAAGAACCAAGTAGTGGCACACGGAAAAGAAGGAAGGAAGAGGGGCGCACATGGTTGTAAGTTGGTTGAGGTTGGCCAAGGAGGCTGGAATGGTGCCACTGAACCAGTTGTAATGCAATAACCTGCCGTGGGATGGCGTGCAATGGCATAGGACGGCATTGAAGTTGCAATGTGATCGGGTAACTGTTTGACCATACGTTTTCTTGGGTAGCTGTCCACCCTAAACGGTAACAGCTGAGACAGACAGACAGGCATTGCATTGTTGTGACCTGTGATTGGGTGAAAGCGTTTCTGTGCCTGCCCATTGTTTCAGGCAGCCAGATCCCAGAAACCTGGCAGCACATGCCCTTTTTAAAATATAGCACAGCGCTACCAGGCAGGCACCAAGAAACAGGTTGAAAGCAAAAAAAGAAAGCCTGTTGCTGTGTATACCCTGCACAAAACGTAACGTTCTAATATTGTTACCAGATCTGGAGGTTCCAATGCGAATGCATGCCCCAGTTCATCTCGCGTGATGGTAAGCTTGCCTCGGTGCAATCTGCCTTCTTACAGTCCTTGCAGGCCAGTGATATCGCCTATTGAATCCGGGATGGGTCCTGTGAGCGAGTTATGGTCCAGCATCCTGAGGGAAGGAGGAAGGGAGGGGAGGAGGGAGGGGAGGAGGGAGGGGAGGAGGGAGGGGAGGAGGGAGGGGAGGAGGGAGGGGAGGAGGGAGGGGAGGAGGGAGGGGAGGAGGGAGGGGAGGAGGGAGGGGAGGAGGGAGGGGAGGAGGGAGGGGAGGAGGGAGGGGAGGAGGGAGGGGAGGAGGGAGGGGAGGAGGGAGGAGAGGAGGGAGGGGAGGAGGGAGGGGAGGAGGGAGGGGAGGAGGGAGGGGAGGAGGGAGGGGAGGAGGGAGGGGAGGAGGGAGGGGACGGACAGCAAATATGGGAAGGGGGGAAGTGAAGGGGGGATGGGAGGGAGGGACGGAGGTGGGGGCAGGACGCTGTAGTGCCACCCACACCCTGAAATGTGTGTCTGTAGATCAGTATCCACCATCAGCCTAGTGCATCCGACATGGAACCCCATAGCAACTGCCACCAGCACCAGAAGCACAGCTGCATCCTGCCACCGAAGCTTAATCATAGCCCTTGCCTCCCTCCACGTGCCGCGCTATGCCATGCACCCCAATCCCCAGGCTCGCTCACAAGTATGTTAGCTTTTGTAGGTTGCCTAGGTTCTCTGGAATGGAGCCGTTGATCTGGTTGTTGTCCATGCCCCTGATGCTCGGAGAAAAAGAATTTGAGAAAGGAAGGGGTGGTGTAGCAGGAGTAAGGAGAGGGGAGGAGATTCGGGGGACGGCAGCGGGAGTTGCGAAGGACGAGGAAGGAAGAGTCTGCTGCAGAATCGTGAAAGAGAGGTGGCTGGGAAAAAGGTCACCAAGCACGAGGGGCTAGATACGTGTATCTGTCACTGCCTACAGTGCTATGCACATGGGCATGCCGCACCGCTTACTGTGGGCGGCTGCAAGGGCAGGTTGCCACTCACATGTACTCAAGCTTCTGCAGATTGCTGAGCGACTCTGGAATGGATCCCGAAAGCCCATTGTTGCTCAAAATGCTGCAGCATTGTTTGCAAAGGGCAGCGAGGGGTGACGGAGGCTTAATATGAAGGCAACTGCAAGGATCATGAAGACTTGCTCGGAATCCTCCCCTCCCCTGCATGCAATGTGACACGTATGCTCACAGGCACATCAACATGCATCCCACCAGCACATCCACGTACGTACATATACCCACATACACAGGCATCAGCGCAAGCCCAGCCGAGCCTGCCTTGCCTCGAGCTGGGTCCGGTCCGGCTCGGGCTCAAGCAGACGCACACCCAGCTCGAGCCCGAGCCGGCGAGCCGACGAGCGGAACCCGCTCGCTTTGAGCAACGCGACGACCCTAGAGCAGCTTGTGTCTCGCCGAGCCAGCTCGGCTCGACCCGAGCTGAGGGAATAAAAACAAGAGACGACGCAATTTTCTTTGGGTTGAGGAGCTTATTTTATATAGATATATAAATTCTGTTTAAATTTACACGCTTGTCTTAGGGTTTCTTTTGTTGTTCGTTTCTGCTTGTACAGTTTTCTTGAATAGTTTTGTTCCTTATTGTTCCACTGTAGCCCAGTTTCCGTAATGCGTCTTCTGTTTTGTGTGCGTATGGATTGTTTTTTCGCCTTTCCGCTAAATGCCCAGCCATCGGGAGTTTCCGTTTTATTTTGCTTGATTATGTGTTGACTGTGGCCACTGGCGACTTGTGGCGAGCGAATCTGGCCACCTGGCAATGCTGTTAATTTTCCGACGTGGCAATGACACCAGCCTAGCTATACTCGCCATAGAATGCTGATTTTTTTTTCCCGTCTACAAGTTCAAAACCCCGGAGCTCGCCACTGGATGCATTACGCGTTACACACTCGAATTTCGAAGTTATACTACCGATAGTTTTGGTTAAATAACACTATTACGCGAATTTCAGTGCGATGGGGTACTTTCTGACCAAGAAAAATAAAATTCTTTCAGAGCTGCAAAACCGCGGCTGTTTGAACGCAGCTGCTCCCCTCGAGGGTTCACAGCTGCAGATACGCGGCTGTCTTATGCAAGGTGAAAAAAAACGGCATCCGTATTAAACGGTCCGTTTTAAACGGCCGTTTTTTACGGTGGGTTTTAGTAAAAAAAGACGTTTTTTTGTTAGACATTTTTTCACGATTTTTTTTTTTTTTTTTTTTTTTTTTTGTATAAAAAGCACGCGTAAACAAGTGGCCTGATTGCTAAGGCGGCCTGCATCGTTCTACGGGGTAATTAGCGGCTTTGAAACAGGTATGTGATGTCCATGCCCCTAGTCCGTCGCCTTCTAGGTCTCATTCTGCTCCTACTCCACCATCCCCCCCATCCTCCTCCTCCTAAGCGTCATCCACCTAGTCCTCCCCCCCCTAAGCGTTATTAGCTCGGCCAAAAACAATGTACACCGTATTATACGGTGGTACAAAAAAAACGGTCGTATAAAACGGCCGTTTTTTTGCACCGAACGCAAAATGCAACTTTTGACCGTTTTAATCGTATTATACGACCGTTTATACGATCCCGTTTTAATCGGTCAAAAAAGGTAAAAAACGCCGTTTTTTTGCACCTTGGTCTTATGCTCTATTCTTCCTCCTCCATACCCTAGTCTCACGCTTTGCTCTTCCCCACTTCCAGCAATTGGTGATTGTAGATCTGGTGATTAGGCAGCAACGTGACATCAGCTACTACTGCTTTCTTTTATCGCAACTGTACGAAAGAGTACTCCAGGTCGGTATAAATAGTGGCTTAATGACATTTCCGTGCAGTCGTATCTTAATGGTTTCTCTATGTTTCTTCTCTCGTTTTTTTCTCAAGCTAAGAGGAAACGTAAATGATCTCTTTCAGCTTAGATACTTGGTACGGATTCTCATCTGCTTTTCCTCTTCTATACTCCAAGCCTTCCCCTTCGTTTGCATTGAGTTCTTAGTTCTCTCTCCTTCCATATTAACATCCTCAGTTTGCATCTTGAAGACGCGGTAAGCACAATCCTTTTCCTTCCCTCCATTCACCTCCCCTACCATATCTCTCTCTTCCATCTACGCCACCTTCTTTATTTTTAGTTTTTTTTTCGTTTTTCTCCCTTGTCCGCTCCATGTGCCACCTTCAGTTACGTTTCCTATCTCAATCTTACTTACCCGTTCCATTCAATCTCTGTCCCTATCCGTTTTGTGCCCGTTTTATGTTTTTATCTTACTCTTTCTCTTTGATTCCACAATTTCTTTAAAAAATTCCTGCAGAGCTTTAGCTCGTTGAAGATGCTAACTTGCATCGTTATGGGCAACGAATAAGCAACGTCGTGACTATTCATTCTTCTCTGAACTGCATCTATGTTTCAGTGCAACCGCTTCAAACTGTTTTCTGCGCCTTGTGTAGTCACTGATCTAGGTCACTGGTAGCAGTCACTGATCCGCCCAAAAGCGGATCCGGGTCCCGGGTCCCGGGTACCCGACCCGGGCGGTTATTTTGCTCAAGCCTAATTACACTAATGTAAATTACACCAAAACTAATTCGATTCAGATTTCAAATGCTGGTAAGTTAAAGACCATTTTCAATCCTTGAGTTTATATTTTTTTACCACCAAAACTGGAAAAAAAATTCTGTTCGATCGATTGCAATAGGTTGCTCCGCAACCCAAAAAAGGCTCAGCTAATGACTCGTGCCGAGGCTTGAGCATTAACCGGACCCGACTTTGCCCTACCCGATGTCGGGTTCGGGTCGGGTCGGGTCGGGTCAAGTCAGGTACGAGTTCAGAGAATGTTAACCCTACCCGGGTTTACCAGGTCGGGTACTACTACCTGACAAGACTTCTGGTCGGGTCGGGTCGGGTTGGTATAGCCGTATAGGGGCAGGGACGGGTAATAACCCGACCCGAGTGGTCGGGTTATGTCGGTCGGGCCGGGTCGGGTACCCGATGATCGGGTCCACCCTCCGCAAATGTCGACCCGGCCATGAAAAGAGTCGGGTTCGGGTCGGGTTACCCGAACCGACCCGACTCGTTGCTCATGCAAACTCGTGCGTGACTCGGCTCGATGCTCATGCCTTAACCCGCAGGCACACCCACATGCATTCCCAAAGGCACACTCACGCATATACCTAGACGCATACCCATATGTGCATGGCACACACATTCTACGTACTATAAACCCCCGGAAAACCACATGTGCTGAATTGACAGGCTGGTGAGCAGCACATGAGTGAACTCACAGGTGCCTGAGCGCAGAGAGGCTGCCCATGGAGGAAGGCAGGGAGCCACTCAGCTGGTTGTCGGAAAGGAATCTACCGGAAATAGAAGGGTCACAGGCATTGGAGACGGGAAGCAAGGAAGGCATACTATGAAACAGTGTGGCTTTGAGTGTTGAATGAGATTGGCAAGGCACGCAGGCAATGATAGTAAGCACTATGGTCAGAAGTGGAAAAACAGGTGGGAGAGGTGTAACGGGAGGTGGAGGAAGGAACCAGAGGGGACTGACAGGGTCTGCAGGCGTTCAGCCTCTCCTACTGTGCTGGGAATGCTGCCTGACAGCTGATTTCCTGAAAGAACACTGCACACGAGCACCATGCATGCAAAGGGTTGATTGAAGCAGCCCATGCATGTGGTGCAGTGAGGCACAAAGCGGAAGTAACATGAGTGGATGGTGCAAGAAGACAAAGGGTGTCCTGGTGCAGATCGCAGGGAGCGGAGCATGTGTCACATGGCAAGGGCAAGTTTATATAGTCAGGGCTAGCATGATGGGGGGCGCATGGGCTGGCTGCATCGTGCCCTCCCAGATCGCATGGAGGCGATTATGCTGGTTGCATCGTGCCCTCCCAGATCGCATGGAGGCGAATTGGGGTGGTTACAAGGCTCACTCACAGGTGCTTGAGGTTGGGCAGGGAAAAGAGAGCAGCGGGCAAGGAGCCTTTCAGTCCACTGGACCTAACGGCCCTGCGGGAAAAATGCAAAAACACACAGATCGAAACACGAAGGGAAAGCAAAAGACGTGGGTAGAGCGAGGAGCGACGGGGAGTATCAGAGAAGCAGAGTGGGTCAAAACAGGCATATTCAGCATCCTGCAAGAAACGCCTTACTACATTCGGCACCACCTACAGTACGATCGTACCAGACCATGCCTACCTACCGTGCTACAATCAGCCCATGGAACTCACAGAACGGTCAGGCGCTCCAAGGCGCTCATGCCCTCTGGAATTGAGGCCCCTATCAGGCTGCCGGTTGTGTCACTGCGAAGGGGGCACAAGAGAGATATGTGAGAACGGCAGTGCAACGAGAGAGGCAAAAGTTGGCAATGCGGCTCACAAAGGCGCCGCAACTCTGTGCTCTGGCACAAACTAGCAAGAGGGTGCGGCGCACATGCTACGATACATACATTGAGACGACGTGGCCGTCTGCATCACATTTGACAGTGGCCATGTTGTCGCAGTCACTGCCTCTGATCCACGTGTCTCGGCCTTCTATCCCGCTCCATGCAGTTGCCAGCTTCTCCAGCACGCCCACTGCCGTTCATAAATCATGCCACGCCATGCCATGACAAGCCATGCCATGCCACACACGTGCCACACAATGCCACACCATGTCAGACGCATCTCACCATCCCATGCGACCTCCACCACATGCCAGGGCAGGGACGGTAGTCCGTCGTATGAAGGCACAGTCAAGGCAAAGAAACCCCAAACACAAACCTCACTAATACCGCACAACCATTACACGGGTGGGGAGGGGGAGAAGGGAGGAGGGGAAGGGGAGGAGGGGGAGGTGAGGATTAGAGGGTGAGCTAACGTGACAGTGCCGTCAGGTACCAGAACGCATTCACGACAGTTCCCCAGTATGGCCTTTCTCTTTAGTGGGGCGCATGGGTCACGGCTGGCCGCGCTGTCTAGGGTTAGGGTGGCTAGCGTGGCTACTCTGTGGCTGACGTACCTAGTTCGTTTACGGAAGTATACGGGCATCCGTCCCAAAATACCAGGACCAAAGAGTCTTTGGTCAGGGTCCAGCACGGCTGTCAGGGTCCATCACTGCTTACTATCAGGATCCAGCACTCGTGCAGCCCGTGCGAGAGGCGGCATGCAGGAGCGCGCCACCACGATCAGCATCGTCACCGCCGCCGCTCTCGCCGCCGCTCTCCCCGTTGCCCACGAACCGTTCGTCCGCGACCGCCGCATTGCCTGCAGCCGCGAGCCCAGTGGCAGTGCTGTGGAGGCGATCGCAGGGCGTGGGTCCACTGGGAGTGCATGCCGCGAGGCGCTGAGCGGCATCGTCGCCGGCCATCCTAGTGTACTACTGTCCTCCTCGGAGGCACTTCTGCTGCGGTTACCCATCTAATTCTGCGTGTCTGCGAAGCAAGGCGCAGTGGGTTGAAGAAGAGTGTCTCTGAATCGCAAGGCGTTGAGGCCCGAAGAAAGATGGCTCTAAAAGATGGTTGTACGTCATCGGCTATCTCAAACATGCAGCCCGTAGTAGTGCATGTGCAACCAGCACAGACTTCAAGGGAAGGCTCTGACCCAAGGCTGGGTGGCTTGCTGGATGTTGGGTTCGGTACATTGCGGCAATGTACCGCGCCAATTGTGGCGTGCTCTGTGAACATCGAAGTAGGTATGCAGATATTTATTGTTGACGTGCCCGTTGGAATTTTGCGGAGCCAGCGCAGCAAGGCGCAGCAGCATTCAGCTGATACAAAACCCGCACCAGCCCAATGACTCGCTGGAGGCGCTGTGCGACCACATTTCTAGGCTAGGCATTTTGAAGCATGGCAATGGGAGATTATAGAACAGGTCACTTTCATTGCCTCTTTCACACACCTAGTCACCCCCGTCACACGTGCGAGCAAATTTTCCTAAGGAAAACCACAGCGCGTCACTCCCAAAAAAAGGGAGGTCACACCTTCTGGCAATTTTTAATACAAGTGGTAAATGCCCGAAACCCCCACCCGGACATCACCCGTTTCATTCCTTTTTCCCGTGTGTGCATTTCCTACTGTAACTACCTTTAGTTTCGAATCTCACCGATATTTGTCACTCCCAAACGGCACTATTCCAACATGCGATTTTCCATACGAATGAGGTCCAAAGATACGGCAGTAACTGTTTGACACTGTCAATATTTATTAGTATGATAAAACATTGTAATATATATTATACAATAATGTAAACCATGCAACACAATACAGGCCTAGTTGTTTTTCGGGAGGGAGCTCCAGAGTCGAACATATAACTTTCACGGGCGAATTGGGCCAATATAGGATAGTCTAGTTACCGCGTTGGCATATTTCAGTCTAAAACAGATGACCATTGTTGTTTGTTTTGCGTTCCTCAGGCAACACTGTAAGGTTTGAGAACGTCCCGTTTGCACATTTAGAGGTCTCCGTATCGATGTGATAATTGTTGCAGATCTTTGGGCCTGTGTTAATTGGGCCGTTGCCTGTGCGTTCGGACCAATAGGCACGTAGATGGACAAGTGGCATCTAATGAATGGGCATTTGACTGGTTGTCAGATGTAATTAGTAAATATTAGCCATTATTTATTCTTGCTCCAAGGGAAAAATATCTCTAAATCAATGGGTTTTTTTGTTCAATGTCGATATTCGATAGAAGGCTGACCCATCAATATCTACAATGAGAAGTCCTCTAAAAAAATAATTTTACAAGCTAAATGTAGAATAATAATTCAGCCCTCTCAATACCCCCTCTCCCCCCCCCGCCCCCCCACCCTCTTCAAGACTGGAATTTTTAGGTTTATTATAACAAAACACAAAAAATTATATGGAAAAACTACTAGGTGATATTTTATAATTAATATATTGAAAGGTTACAACTAGTGTAATACATTTTTTAGTATTTTATCAAACTAAAAACACTGATAACATCACAAAATAATTTCTATTGTAAAATAATCTTTAGCCCTTGTTTGTGCGAAAAACCGCATAACAATATCGTTTGGAAGTGACAAATATCGATGAGATTCGGAACTGAAGATCGTAATTGGAGGAGATACGTGCATAGGAAAATGACATGTAATGTATGATGTTTGGATAAGGGTTTTGGGCAGTGACCTCTCGTGTTAGAAAATGCTAGAATGTGTGACCTTCCATGTTTAGGGAGTAACGCGCTGTAGTTTTCCTTCGGAAAAAGAAGGCTCATACGCGTAACGAGGGTAACTAGGTATGTTAAATAGACCATAAAAGTTATGCGTCCTATAGTTTCCGTATGGCAATTGAAGACTTCTAGATTTTCTATACTAGCAAGCACATCGTGCCGAGGGAAAAATATTAGAAGTCAACACAAGAGAAGACCCTATGTGGAGACCTTAAACCGTGAACACAAAGGGATTCGATTAAACAAGTTCAATTTTATGAGCCTAAGTAAATACTTAGAGATAATACAAACAATGTGAAACTTTTAATATAGGAATTGCGACTATCAAATCGAAAGATTTAAGGTGTGAAGATGATTGAGATATAAAAAAGGTTGAAGCTTTATGATTTTTTAAGCCATTGTGAAACAATAATCCATATTCCTTATTTTTTGTTAAGCAATGTCCTTGAAGGTCTTGGCTTACCTATTAAGTTTTTAAATTAAGCATAATATATAGTTTTTATACACGTGATCAATCTAATGATAATCTTAAAACTATATTTTTCAGTATTATTGTACTTTTTCCTATGTGATTTGTTTCGTTATGTCATATTTTTTGTTTGTATTTGTTATTAAGAGAATTCTCCACCGTGTTCTTTTGCAAGGTTGTTCAAGAGAGACTGACTGTATTCAAAATTGGTGATAGATATTACTTGCTAATGTCGTACCTGTGATATGTCAGGGCGAGAGGGCTGAAATTAGGCAGTTTGATTGTTCTGTATACATTTCTGATCATACAAGATGCGCCTGATTTAAACTAAGCTGTGCAGTATTTGGCGAGGAACGCCACACCACCCATGCGAGAATGCTGATCCATTTGAGCATAGTGATTTGTAAACTTGCAGATGTCATGGAAGATTCAAGTAATCTCTCATAGCCAGACCTGTCAGCATGTCAGATACACCTGACGTCCAGTGAATCGTTTATTCATTAGATGCTATGCGTTTATCTAAAGGCTCATAAGTCGGAATGCACGGGAAACAGCCCAAACGACACAAGCCCAAAGATCTGCAACAATTACCACATCCGATTGGGAGACCTACAAACGTGCAGACAGGACATTCTCAAACCTTACAGTGTTGCCCGGGGAACGCAAAACAGACAACAATGGTCACCTGTTTTAGACTGGAAAATGCCAGCGAGGTAACCAGACTACCCTCTATTGGCCCAATTCGCCCGTGAAAGTTACGTGCTCGACTCTGAAGCAATCGCTAGAAAAACAACTGAGCCTGAAAAGGACTTCATGTGTAATCTGCCTGTTTTGGCTTGCCATACCTTGCCGCCAACATGTTTTGTGTTTTGAGTTCCCATACCTGGCCACGCGTGGTCGCAAAGCAAGGCCAGCGAGGCATGCTGAGCAGCTGGGGGCGTGCTCGCGCCGCACGCCTTGGCTGATTGCCCCTGCAGCTCTGCCCTGGCTTCGAAACATCATGTAGGGATGATGCCTACATCCACGTTGACAAAAATATCTAACCTGGCAGCACGCTTACAGAAACAGGACATTACAGCGCATTTTGACGGGTTTATGGTGCGTTATTATGCGGTGCTTAGGTGAGTCACCTCCCCCGAATCAAGCCCCTCAACTCACAGTTTCCTGTAGGTCAAAGCAAGTTCGATGGCGGCGCAGTGGTTGAACAAATGAACACATCTGACCCCTGCACCTTGCAAACCACATCACAAAAATGTGGATCTCTCCTATATTGTAGGTATAGTTGTTCGTATAGCAAGGCTACTCCGTAGCAGACGTACCTATGCCATACCTACTGTATACCTACTCCGTATTTCTGATCCTGGAATTTTGAGATGCAGAACCATCTTTGGCCTTAGCAAATCAGAACCATATTTCGAAATAGTATCTTCGAACCCTCTTGCCTTGAAGTCTGGAGTCATCTTTCTTTGCACCGTGCAGCTGAGCATCCGATGGGTAACCGCAGTGGAAGCACTACAGTAGGATGGCCGGCGGCGCCGCTCAGCGCTTCGCATGCACTGCCTGTGGACCCATGTCTGATCGACTCCGCAACACTGCACTTGCGGCCGGCAGCGCGGCGGTCGCGGGCGAACGGGTGGTTGGCGAGAGCGGCGGTGTTGACGCTGATGGTGGCGCGCTGCTGCACTCTACTACTAGCAGCGGCTGCACCCGTGCTGGACCCTGACAGTAAGACCCAGCAAGTAACCCAGAATGCGACTCATGCCGGGAACAACGCGCTTTTGGAACTGCGCCTCGAGGAGGTCTCTGTTTTGTGTTCGATGTGTCTCGCTTGGAAATATACTTTCAACGTAACGGTGTTTTCGTGGCAAATGACATGCACGCCGGTGGCGCCACTGTCGACTCACACTACTCTTCCTCACCACTGTCCCTCGCTTAGGTGCGGTGCCACTTTCTGTAGTAATGGTTGTGTCATGCCACACATGTGTGGCGTGGCGTGGCCTACTCTCTGCCTTAAATGTTTCGTCTTTGTAGTGAAATGCAACGTTGTAGCCTGGTAGCATCTCGGGTCAGGTGACATGGTGTGGTACTCCATGTGGCATGGTGTGGTACAACAGTAAGCCTACTACTTCGAATGCGACGCACTCATGCTGCAACCTGCGCCCAGCCCTCCATGTTCGTGTACACCGCACTTGGGTACCTTGCGCTACTATTACCTCCTATCTCGCCCTCATTTTCCCTGTCCGGTGTTTTCTGTGCACTTCTTCTTATGGTGTCGTGGCATGGTGTGGCGTGTGTGGCGGCATGGTTGATTATCTGTGCCTTTTTCTGGAAGGACGCATGGTAACGCTTGTAGCATCGTGCCGTGGTGGGGTTACCGTGTCTGGCATGGCGGCATGGTGTGGCATGGGCTGGCACATGGTGTCACATGGGCTGGCACGGCATGGTGTGGCATGGGCTGGCACGGCATGGTGTGGCATGGGCTGGCACGGCATGGTGTGGCATGGCATCGCACGGGATGGCATGATTCGTGAATCGCAGTGGGCGTGCTGGAGATGCTGGCAACTGCGTGGAGCGGTGTACCAGGCAAAGACACGTGGATAAGGGGTAGTGACTGCGACAGCATGAAGATTGTCAACTGCGACGTGGACGGCCACGTCATTGCGATGTAGGCATCATGGCGAGATAGCTTGTGAGACAGAGCACAAAGTTAGGTGGCCCAGCATCGTGCTGACATGATTCTTGCACAATGCCACTTGGAGCCGGTCGCGACGCTCGCACCACATACAACCTGACTATTGTGCTGCGTTCAAAGGCATTCTCGCTCCACTCCCACGACCCCTCTTTCACCTTTCTCTCTCCTGCTTCCCCACGTCACAGCGACACATTCGGCAGCAAGATAGCGGCGTCCATTCCTGAAGGCATCAGCGACTTGAAGCACCTGACGAATCTGTGAGTGGCGGGGATGATTGTAGCACATGTGTGGTCTGGTATGATATCTCTATTAGTGGTGCCGACCTAAGTAAGGCATCTCTCGAAGATGCGGAACCCATTCTACTACCCTCACCACTACTATCTTCCTCACTCTACCTGCGTCTATAGCTTCCTCTCCATGTTTCCATTCGTGCCTTCTTCTTTCAGGGCCCTCTCGTACAGTGGACTGACAGGCTCCCTGCCTGCTGCTCTCTTTGCCCTGCCCAGCCTCAAGTACCTGTGAGCCTCTTGCTCAACCAAGTCGCCTCCATGCATTCTGCTTTGCACCGCCGAACACCCGCACATCATAGTACCCACATGGCGCAGTCATGTGAGGCATCCCATGAGACGGGAAGATGCCCATGCGGTGTGAAGTTGCCCATTCGGTGGTGGAGCAGCCCGTGCTCGCCTCGCAGCCATGTGCACCAGGACACTCGCCTGCTCATTGCATGGATTTGAATGAATCCACCTACATGCCAAATCCATCCATTGTGCATGTGCTATTTGGTCGTGTGTGTATGGTGCTTGTGTGCAGTTATCTCTCCTACAACGAGCTCTCAGGCAGCATCCCCGCCACAGTGGGAGATGCTAAAGTCCTCCTGTACCTGTCAGTCCCATCCGCTTCTTTCCACCGCGTCCCTCTCTATCTCTCCCACCTGTGTTTCCACTTCTGACTGTGGTGCGTGTACCAAGCCTCCTTGCATCCGGCCAACTGGTGTGTATCTTGCTTGCGTGCGCTTCATTCCTGTTCCCCACAGAAAAATCTCTGTCAACCTCTGCCTTCAATCCGTTCCGCCCCCCCCATTCGCCTCCCATGCATGATCCGTCTATTCCCCCTAGAACTCTTTCTTACAACCAGCTCAGTGGCTCCCTACCTTCCTCCCTAGGCAGCCTGTCTTCACTCACCCGCCTGTGAGTTCCCTCGGGTGCCCTTTGGTACACAATGCAGGGATCTATACAGACGTATATGTGGGTATGCACGTCTGTCTGTATAACGCTGTTGTAGTACATGAAAGAAACTACGGTTTGCAGCCTGACATACAGGGTAGAAAAATGCGGCCCATATGCTATGGTACCGAATAATGTCCATAAAAGTTTTGGCCCGTTGAAGAAAAAACGTTTTCAAAGAAATGGTATAAAATACTGGCTAAACTGAATCCCCAAATGACCTGAAAATACCGTCGTATAATACACCGTACTATACGACAGCCCGTTTTAACCTTGTTGACAAGTGAGCCAAACACTGTTGACCGAACAGAGGCGGCATTTTATTCAGAATAAATGCATCCAGGCCTTCCCGAATCTTCTTGCAGTTTTATGACCCACAATGCCTTCTCCGGCTCCATCCCAGAGAATCTGAGCAATCTGTTGAAGCTTCAAGTCCTGTGAGTGGCTCCCAGTCATGGCAGTTGGCAGTGAGGCATCATGGCACCTCCACTGGACACGCTGCCATCGTTCCTAGAAACAATGCAAGCAATCGTGCTTTCTGTCAAATGTACCACCTTGGAACCATCGCCAGAACCATGCTCCCTCTGCTAAAACTACAACCGCCTTCTGTTCTCTTCTCTCCGTCCTGCATTTGGCACCTGTCCACGGACTCCAGGGGCTTGGATCACAACACCTTCACGGGTTGCATCCCTGCATCTGTCAGCAGCCTAAGTCGAATGAGACATCTGTGCGCCCCTTGTTGCTTTCTCACGCACAGCCCAACAAGCTGTTGCCACAAAATCTCCGCTGCCCCTGTCAAGCTGTCCCCGTTCTGTCTCCTTGTCTTCAGGAAGCTTCATGATGCTTCTCGACTCGATTGATCCTCCTTCCTCCTGCGCCTCCCCGTGCGCCCATTGCCATGTGCCAGTTATCTGTCTGAGAATGAGTTCACAGGGCCGATACCCAGCTCCCTAGGAACTATGATGAACCTTTGGACTTTGTAAGTTGAAATGAGGATGAACGAAGAAGTCCCAGCAGAAAATAGGGTCAGAGGGTGACATTTCATGCTGACTATAGTTTCTTATTTCTCTCCTTGTGCGCAAAAACCTGTGCCAACCCTTCTACTCCACATCAGCTCATGCCTATCGCTCTCCATTTCTCACTTGCTGTCTCCCTGCATCTAGTTCGTCCTTTTCCATTGCTCTTCCCTCTCTCATTTCCATTCTTGCATCATTCCTTTGCTTGCAAAATCCACATCAACAGGTACTTGAGAGGCAACCACTTGACTGGACCGATTCCAGCATCGCTGGGCAACTGCTCTAATCTGGATGCATTGTACGCATGAGGAATGCGCGCAATAGATGCGGGGATTAAGGGCACGAAGAACTTCCATTGCGTCGGATGGCCATGTTCGTCCCTGCATCCATGCTCCCCTTTCCTGCACTTCCCTCCCCTTGTTACTATTTGGTACTTTCTCTGCCTCATGGTCGCCTATCCCTTTCCATTGTTCTCTCTACTCAGATTCAAGCATCCTGCTGATCACGTACCCATGTACTCCTTCCAATCAACCTCTTACCTCACTCCGATTCCACTTTGCTTATTTTATTTTCCCCATCTAGTGTGTGTTTAATACGCTGCTTCTTCCAATCCAATGCCGTCACTCCCCTCACCTCCTAGGGATGTGGGTGAGAACGACATCTCGGGAACCATCCCTGCTACCCTTGGCAACCTGCGTAACGTGATGGACCTGTGAGCCTCAACGTTATTTGGGGTGGTTGGTGGTGGGGGAGTTGCTGGTTGGGTTGATTGGTTGGGGCGGTTGGATGGGAACGTTCCCTGTGTCCTTGAGGCAATCATTCCTCAGTGCATCAATCAAGCCATACTGCAGCATTTTTCTTTCCCTTTGCTCACATGGTAAATGTAGTGTAACCCATAATCTCCATGCCCGATGTTCCTTTAGTAGCGCCGTGACATGTTATCGCTGTGGACTGATCTGCCCCCTGCAGAAGTTTGGACTCCAACCAGCTGACCGGCACCCTCCCTTCCTCCCTGGCAAACCTCTGTTGGCTCACCTACCTGTGAGGCTTGTGCGCGATTCACTACGAGAACAGTCTGCCTGTGTGTTATTATGTGGGCATACACGTGTGGCTATGTGTGCCGGTATGCATATTGCTATATACACAGACAATTGCCATTTGCGAGGCCTTCGTCAACATGTTTGGGCCACTTGAACCATCTTGAAGCCATCTCTATTTTATTGGTCTCTCAGATAGCCCCTCCGTTCTATAAGCCCTCAGCATGTCCATGTACCTCATGTATACGTGAGCAACACCTGCCAGGCGATGTCAAATATAGGAGTTACAGCAGCTGATGGCAGCAGCGAACTGTGTTGTCCTTCGCCCTAGTGTTGCCCATTTGTTATCACCCACCAACCCACCAACTGCGGTAAATGAGGCGCATGTAAGACCTATCACCTGGCAGGATCCTGCTCCACGTTGCATCCGTCTACCACATTCCCTCCGGGTCCCATATCCATATCCATTTCCCCTGACCACAGCACGTTGGACCACAACAGTTTGTCTGGATCCATCCCTGCCTCTCTCGGCAACATCACTGGAATCGAGACCCTGTAATCCCCTCTGCCTCCGCCTCACTTCTTTCAGGTTTCTCTCCGCATAGTTCCATGTCCCTTGACTTCTTTCACTCGTACCATCATCACCACTCTGGTTTCCGCCCGTCCCATTTGTGTCCTCCATCCGTTCAACCCCTGGCCCCTACATCTCCGTCAAGGAACCCTTGTTAATCCCCTGTGCCTCTCCCTCAACCCCCTCCCCTCCACCTCCCTCATCCCCCCCACCAACTCTTTTCCCCCCTCCCATCCCTTTATGCTGCCATATGCCAGCCTCCTCCACTACAATCAGTTCACAGGGCAGATACCGGAGTCCCTAGGCGATCTATCCAACCTCCGAGTTTTGTGAGTCCAGACCACAGGGCAAGGGAGGAAGGCTAAGGGTACCAGGCCTGGCAGGCCATGGGACAGGTTGAGGGAAACGAAGTGGTTTTGGGGGTAAAGGGAACAGCGATGCACAAGTTAAGGGTAGGGATGTGCAAACGAGTCGAGTTTCGTTGACCCCCCCCCCCCTTCCCGCTCCCCCCTCCCCCCCCCTTTCCCGAGTCTAGTCTAGTCGGGCGAGTCTTGATTCAAATATGACACGTGGCTTCCCGACTGGGCCCGAGTTGGGGCAGACCCGATTGGCCTTCTGGCCGAGTCAAAGCTGACTCGGGCGGGTATAGATCCAGGATGGCCAAACCCAGGGTATTTGAGCATCCTGTGTCTTCCCTTTCTCCTCATCCGTTGACGCCCCGTAATCACTCCCCCCTGCACAGTACTTCTTTACTCAATGCCGTTTTGTACTCTCCTTTGTTCGTTTCTTCCCCTTTGCGCCCCTTCACCTACCATTCTCAAATGTGTCGTATGCGTTCCATCTTCACAGGTCACTTAAAGCCAATTTCTTGACCGGAAGTATTCCATATACAATGGGGAATTTTGCTTCTATGACTTCCTTGTACGCATAAATCCATGCGTTTGACCCTAGTAGATCGTGTGCCCATACTTTCTTTCTACTGCTTGAATCCACATTCCAGTGTTTCCAACCACTTCGCCTCTGTGCTGACAGATGCAAGCACTGCTCAGTTTCGTGCCGCTGCTGACCATTTATGGCCATTCTGGTGTCTTCAATCTGCAGGGATTTGAGTGTGAACAACATTGCGGGAACCATCCCGGCCACCATTGGCAACCTCCAAGCCTTGAAGTACCTGTGAGTGCCTGTGAAGGACCTTGAGCTCAAACGGTGGATGAGTGGGTTGAGAGGGGGGATGCCATGAGAGGGAAGAAGCAGATCATGGGAACAAGGGGTAAGCAGCTGCTGTTGGGGCACACCGTATGACCGTGCTTCCAGATGCAGGAAGATTCTCACATCTTCACAAAAGTTTCATAACCCCCCCCCCCCCCCCCCCCCCCCCCTTCCCTCCCCCCCCGCTCCCTTCCCTCTCCTCCCGCCCCGCCCTCCTTCCCTTCCCCACCCCCCTCCCTTCCCTCTCCCCCCTATTCTCAATTGGACGACTGATTTCAATTGGACGATGAGATGCTTGGGATTTCAAACCCCCCCACTTCGCCCCAACCCCCTTCTCGACTCCAACCGTTCCATTGTGACCTCTAATGTGTGCTAAATTTCCTCTGCTTACAGATATTTGGACTCCAATGCACTAAGCAGCAACATACCTTCCTCCTTGGGCACCCTCTCTGAGCTCATCCACCTGTGAGATTGCTAAGCGTGTTCCACCATGCAAGGATGTGTGGGAGAATGCCTGTTGTATGTATGGTAATATGCATATATGGGTGTACGTGCTGTAGATAGATCGCACCAATCAATGCACATATAATGAAACTGTTTTGTGGGCCATTACATGTTCTCTGCTGTGTTCCAACGATCCGGAGCACACCTACCATCACCTTGCCTGCTGTCCGGCCTTTCGACCCTTCTATATTGTTCACCTGGCCTCGTTTAACATCTCCTTCATGATTCTCGTATCCATCCCTGTCTCTCTCCTCCGCCCCGATGCTGCCATGCCCATGTGTCAGCCGCTTGAACGACAATCAGCTCACAGGGCAGATTCCTGAGTCGCTGGGCGATTTGAACAGCCTTCAATCGCTGTGAGTATAGACAGCAGGGCAAGGAAGGAAGGTTGAGAGAAGAATGGGGAGTCTCAGGCTAAAGGACAGGCTTGGGGGAGGGTGTTGGTTTTTCGATGCAAAAACAGATGGGCAAATATAGGCTATGTGACTATGTCCCTTACACCCACATCCCATAGGCCGTAAGAAAGCATGGGCCCTTGAGTTCTGACCTGTAATGCATTTAAACCGTCTCTTACCTTCAGACATTTGAACTCCAACCGGTTGAGCGGCACCCTCCCTTCCTCCCTGGGCAATCTTTATAACCTCATCCATCTGTGAGTTCGCTCTTGTGTTTCTTGTGTATTTCACCAGCCTGATGATACACCATGTGAGAATCTATGCGGACATGAGTTGTTTTCAGGTCGACGTACAGCCAGTTGACGAACTGAGTCGAAATCGAACCTTAGGTCAAATGTTTGGCCCGTCGTGCACAGATCGGGCGGTGAAATGCCAGTTTTTTTCTCGAATTGGCGTTTGAAACGATCCGATTTGCGGAGAGTGGACGGCTTAATGCCAGATCATTGCCATTCGATTGGACAGTTTCGTATGAATCAGGGGATTGCAACACAGGCCCGACCGAGGGCCATCTGGCCAGTCATCGCCCACCCTGGCCCGTCAGACCGGCGCGGCCTGCTTTCTTTTGGGTCCAGGATGGGATGGGCTTGCTGCCCCGAGCCCATTCCTTGACCATGTGTAGCATGTGCATGCCCAGCAATCTCCTTATGTCATAAGTCCTAAAGAGCTCACTAGTCTTTTGTTTTGACGCCAGGTAAAAAACACAAGCAGTTCTCTCTAGCCTAGGAGAACGGAAGACCAACAGACTATCAATAATCAATCTAGAATGACAACCTGCAACGTCACTTTGACCAATGCAAAATCGTTGGCATCATTGTCACCACCTTCCGTCCCTTTCTCCCATTTGATCTTCCAACCTTCAACCCCTGGCTTCTTCTACATCGTCTACATCTCCTTCATAGCTCTCTTTTCCATCCATGTGGCTCTCTACCCACCTTTTCTGCCATGCCCATGTCTCAGCCTACTAAACGACAATCAGCTCACAGGGCAGATACCCGAGTCGTTAGGCAATCTGTGGTATCTTGAATCGCTGTAAGTATAGACAACGGAGCACGGGAGGAAGGTTAATGGATGAAATTGTATTAACAGGCTATGAGAAAGGTTGCTGGGGAGAATGAGTGCTATGGAGGGAACAAAAAGCGGGTATACCAGATCACTGGCATCCCGCCCCTTGCATTGCGACCTCTAACATATGTGGATTGTTACTTTCAGATTTCTTTACTCCAACCAGCTAAGTGGCACCCTCCCTTCCTCCCTGAGCAACCACTATTGGCTCGTTCAACTGTGAGTTTGCTCCTTCGCTCTTCATCAGCCCGTTGGTTGATACACCATGTGAGGATGTATGCGGACATGCCTGTGGTGTGGGTGTGCATGCGTGTATGCGTATGAGTATTCATGCATGTGAGATATAGATGCCAGATAGCCATCGATTCTGAGCACTTCTGGACCATCAGAATCACCCCTGCAGCTGCGATCCCTTTTTCCCTTGCCACCTCCTTTGTTCAACTCCTGAATCCGTGACTCTCTTGTCCATCCCTGTGCCTCTCCACCCCCGTTTTGCTGCCACCGGCATGTTTCAGCCACATATCACACAATCAGTTCACAGGGAATGTACCTGCGTCCCTGGGCTATCTGACTGACCTTCAAGCAGTGTGAGTTTTGACCACAGGGTGAGCGAAGAAGCCTGAGGCCATCAGGCTACGTAGTACAGGTTGACGGGAGAGGAGGTGATATGGAGGGATCAATGAGTGCAAAAGCGAGGGCAATGAGCCAGATAGTGGCCTGTCATGCTGAATACCCTTCCATTCCATATGTTCCCTCCCTTCTCACCTATCCTCTCTATCCCTTCTCTACATTGCCAAGCCTCCTACATATTCTCCTTGATCCTCATCCCTTCACAGCCCACCGTTACTCCTCATTCTGAACTTCAACTCCTTTCGTAATTTTTTTCCTCACAGCAGTTTAATGTTCCTCACGCCATCTCTTCTCTTCATATAACCAATTTGTTTATTCTAAATGCATCCCTCCTTCACAGATCAGCGAACAACAACTACTTGACTGGACCTTTACCAACTACACTGGGGAAATTGGCATCCCTTACTTCCTTGTACGCTTGAACTCACTCATGCAAGAGCAAGCCTGATATCGTTTTCGCATTCCTGTGATTTTGATGCCTGCTTGTCCGCTACTTTTAGCAATCAACCTCAATTTCCGCTTCTTTCAGGCTCCAATCTCCAGTGTACTTTCCCTGCAAATTGTGCCCCCTACCCCCCTTTCCCTGCCTGTTGTGCATTGACATAAGAGCATAGCCGATATTTGTGTGCCTGGTGACTTCAACCAGCCCTTCTAATACCTCCAATCCCCTTAAACTCTGTGTAGGGATTTGAGCATGAACATCATAACAGGAGCCATCCCAACCACCTTTGGAAACCTGCAAGCAATGAAGTACCTGTGAGCTCAAATAGTGGATGACGGGGTTAGTAAGGGTCAAAATGGATGAAGGGAGACAACGCAGATAGGAGTTGAGAGGATGCCAAGAGGCGGAAATTGCAGGTCAGGGGAACAAAGGGTGAATGATCACACCCTGTCTAACCATATCTAAATGCTCCTTACATTATAATTTCTAACAACCCCCCACTCTCATACTACCCCCTTCGCTCCACTTGCATTCTGTCCCTTGCATCGTACCATCAATTTCATGTGAACCGTGTACTTTCTACAGAGACCTGCGTTCCAACCAGCTCAGTGGCTACCTCCCTTCCTCCCTGGCCAACCTCTCTGCTCTCGAAAATCTGTGAGTCCCTTCTGTGTGCTTCGCCATCCCCCCTGGAACAACTTACCGGGATCAGCGGGGGCATACCTATGGATGAGCGTATGTGTATGAATACTCATGCATGCGAACAGTAGTTATTTTATGCCCCTTCACACTCGCACGCTAGCATGTTATTCATTTCCTAGGGGAAATTACCTTTGATTTTGACCGCCTCATTGCCATCGCCATGACCTCTGCTGTTGTGTTCTCTATTCTTGTCTCAGCTTTCTCCAATACAACCAGCTCACAGGGCAGATACCCGAGTCCCTTGGCAATCTGACCAAGCTTGAAGTGCTGTGAGTCCAGACTACAGGTTGAAGGATGAGGGCTAAGGACACCAGGCTATGGGACAAGGATGAGCAAGATGACGGGCGCTGAGCCAGAGAATGGTTTTTCATGCTGGCCACTGTCATTCTTGCCGAGTCTCCTCCAGCTTCGCTTTACCCATCGACACTCTGTTTTCGATAGTTTTTTTGAACTTTTTGTTCCCGGATCTTCGCGAAAATGTCATCCGTCTTCTCTTCCCCACTTCGCTCGATCTCTCTCCACTAAAAAGTAACATGCTTTTGTAACAATTCACCTCTACAGGTCAGCAAAACGCAACTACTTTACCGGACCTCTACCACCTACAATGGGGAAGTGGTCGTCCATGACGTTGCTGTATGCTCGATATCCCGCATGCATAGGGAAAACCTTTTATATCATGCCATGGACCCTCGCATGTATGCCGCTTGAACCATTCAACCTTGATCTGTTCTTCAAACTCTCCAGTCTACTCCAAATTTGTCATCGTCCATATTGAGTATTCACTTATCCCTTTGAATTGTCATCCCTGCAGATGGCCCTCATCCCCCTTCTCCTGTCTGCTCTGTTATGGAATTCCAGCCATGCCTATTTTAGTGCCCCTGTTTACCTAAAGTTGCCCCATTGGTGCCTCCAATCCCCTCATATTCCTCTCTGCAGGGATGTGGGACTAAATTACTTCTCAGGGACCATCCCGGCCACCATTGGCAACCTCCCAGCCATGAAGTACCTGTGAGCTCAACAAAAGATGATGGAGTGGGTGGAGGCTAGTGTAGATGACAGGAGACAAAACAAGTCCGGGTGAGAGCGAGAGGGTTCCTGGTCGACAGGATTAGAGGGGCATTTTCAGGTTACTGGAACAAGGGGTGGCCAATATTTGTCTGGCCATCTCTACCTCCTCCTCATATTCTATACCTTGCACTTTCATACCCAACTGCCATTAACCCGGCCATCCTGCACAGCTGCACATCCTGCACTGCGTTCATGCCCCCTCGCTCACATGATAGCTTTTCACCATCTGCCTCCCACATGCTATGCCCACTACACACACATCCCGCCCCTCCCAAATAGTTATATGAACTCAAACCAGCTCAGCGGCTCCCTCCCTTCCTCCTTGGGCAACCTCTCTGCGCTCAACCACCTGTGAGTTCCCTTGTGCGCGTTTCACCAGCTTTCTGGTCTGGTACACTTTGGGAGGATCTCTGGGGGCATGCCTACTGCTGGAAGCAGGTAACAGTTGTCCTTGGGCTAGTATTTTGCTGCAGTGGTGAAGTGTGCTGCACATACAGTTAGCTGGCGAAGACATCAACTGCCTTGTATGCACAATCCTAAGTTTTGATTTCTCGATGTCTGGGCCCCTGAACAGGGTGAGGTATGAAAGCTACAGAGGCTTATTTGACTCTCACTGTGCCTTAACTGACTCCCGTTAATGATTTCTTTTGTCGGATCCTGCATTTTTCCTCATCACCAACATGCAATCTAGTTATTGTCCACCCCTTTGCCTGCGAGCAAGCCTCTTTCTCGTCCTGATTCTCAGGGCCAAGCAAAATCATTACTCAGGCGCTCCTTATATTCTGCAAACGTCCGCAACATTGATGCCACCGCCCCCTACCCTGGAACCCTCGTAGTTAAGGCCACAGGGCGAGAGAGGAAGGCATAGAAATGTATATGCACTATCAGGCTATGGGACAGGTTGAGCGGGAAAGTGGGTGGTGCAGAGGGAACAAGGATGGTAAGGAGTGGATGTGCCCTTTCCACTTGCATCGTGAATCATGACCCTGTAATGCATGTTAATTGTCTTTTACCTACAGATATCTGAACTCCAACATGCTGAACGGCACCCTTCCTTCCTCCCTAGGCAACCTCTCTGCGCTCAATCAGCTGTGAGTTCCCATGTTTGCGCTTCACCAGCTCATTAATGATTTCCCACACAGTTATCTCTGGGAGCCCGGCATAGCAGGCGCCGGTGTGGAGAATTGCAAGAGGGGCGTTGTTCTGGATGTGTTAGGCCAGCAGGACAACCGGCGTATGTGGTTATTGGACGTGCTCAATGGAACCCAACCAAACATAGGAACCGTCCACTTCTGTTTATAATCGAAGATCTGAGCCATCACAAGGAGCGAGCAAAGAGCACCATACAAACTTGCACTGCCTCCCTCTCTTCCCACCAACGCAACGTTTTTTTTACATACGCCATTGACATAAGGTGAAAGATTGTACGCGAGCTCTTCATTTTTTTTACCTTCAGGTGGAATGTACCGAGCAAGTCTAAATCGCTGATTGTTGATCCATCCATCCATGTTTCTGTACCGCCATACGAACAAGTTCACATGAACAAGTTCTCGTGCACCCCTTCATCTCTTTCATCAATCCACCCTATTTTAGCTTCCCAAGGGTGCACAATTATGTTACTTGATGTGTTTCTTTTCATTGGACTTGGACAAATCCTCACCATCAAGATCTCAATTGCAATCCTCCAAGCTTCAAACCCTGGCTCCTTCTTCTACGTCTCCTTCATTACTCCCTGTCCTGTGCCTCTCACGCCCAATGCGGGCTCCTGTGCCATGTTTCAGCCTACTCCACTACAATCAGTTCACAGGGCAGATACCTGACTCCCTAGGAAATCTGGCCAACCTGGAAGCGATGTGAGTTGTGACGAGAGAGAGAGAGAGAGAGAGAGAGAGAGAGAGAGAGAGAGAGAGAGAGAGAGAGAGAGAGAGAGAGAGAGAGAGAGAGAGAGAGAGAGAGAGAGAGAGAGGAAAGAGAGAGAGGAAAGAGAGAGAGGAAAGAGAGAGAGGAAAGAGAGAGAGAGAGAGAGGAAAGAGAGAGAGAGAGAGAGGAAAGAGAGAGAGAGAGAGAGGAAAGAGAGAGAGAGAGAGAGGAAAGAGAGAGAGAGAGAGAGGAAAGAGAGAGAGAGAGAGAGGAAAGAGAGAGAGAGAGAGAGGAAAGAGAGAGGGAGAGAGAGGAAAGAGAGAGGAAAGAGAGAGGAAAGAGAGAGGAAAGAGAGAGGAAAGAGAGAGGAAAGAGAGAGGAAAGAGAGAGGAAAGAGAGAGGAAAGAGAGAGGAAAGAGAGAGGAAAGAGAGAGGAAAGAGAGAGGAAAGAGAGAGGAAAGAGAGAGGAAAGAGAGAGGAAAGAGAGAGGAAAGAGAGAGGAAAGAGAGAGGAAAGAGAGAGGAAAGAGAGAGGAAAGAGAGAGGAAAGAGAGAGAGGGTACGGAGCCAGAAATTGTTATTATGCTGGCGACTGTTCCCTATGTTTCCTCCCTTCCCAACTGTCCCTGCCCCCTATTTATATGCAGCCAAGCTTCCCTCTTCTCATCCTCGTTTCACGCGCCTATGTCACTCCACAATTCTTCACGTATATTTATTCATCTTTCCCTTCTCACTCCATCTCCCATCATTCTCAAGGACCCCCATCACCATATTTGTTCCCTACACGTTTCATTCTTCTCAGATCAGCAAGGTCAAATCGTTTGACCGGACCTTTACCACCTTCACTGGGGACATGGTCGTCCGTGTACTACTTGTACGCATGAAATCACGCATGCATAAGGGAAAATATCATTTCCTGCCATTGACCGTTCCCTATCTGCCCTAATTGATCTCAATCTGTTCTTAAGATTTTCTGCTTCCAGTCTCCAGTCCACTCCAGATTCCACAACGTTCGTACATTTTTGTTTGAATTAACTTCTCTACATATTGTGGCCCACCAGCCCCTCTTGTCTAAATCTTATTCTTCGGCATATGAGCAATTCCCACATTCACGCCCCTATTTCCTTGGACTGGTCTGGTGCCCACGATCCTATTTTACCTTCTACAGGGATTTGAGTGCGAACAGCATCACAGGGCCCATCCCAGACACCATTGGCAACCTCCAAGCCTTGAAGTACCTGTGAGCTCAACGCCAGATGATGGAGGATAGAGAGTGTGGGGGAGAGCGAGAGGAATACGATTTGAGAGGATGCCAATAGGAGGAAATTGCAGGTCATGGGAAAGTGGGTGAGCAATCACCCCCTGTATGGCCATCTCTAACTTCTCCTCATAATCTAAACCACCTCACTTGCTCTCCTGTCTGCTTTCATCACCTCCCAACTTCCATCAACCCAGCCATCCTGCACAGCTTCCATGCCACCTCAATCTTATTCTAGCTTTCATCCTCTGTCCCCCATGTGCTATGCCCAATCTATTTACCCCACCTCCCCTCCCCCCTCCCCCTCCCCCCCCCACTCTCTCTTGCATTACGATGTCTACCGCATGTAAAATGTCTACTGCCGACAGATATTTCTACGCCAACCAGTTGAGCGGCTCCCTCCCTTCCACCCTGGGCAACCTCTCTGTGCTCATCCACCTGTGAGTCACCAGCTCCCCAGCTCACCAGCTCGTTATTAATCAGGGGCGTACAGTGGGTATGCGTATGTTACAGATGCCATGTGATGTGTACTGGATGTGTACCACCTTACTGGTGTTACAACCTCTGTGTCCATCTCCCTTTCAATACTCCTATCTTCAACAACTATCTCTTCTACAGCTCCTTCTTGGTACTCTTGTCCATTTCTGCTCTTCCCCTTCTCCTCCCCGCTCCTCCCCCACCTTCCTCAGCCTCGTTAACAACAATCAGCTCACAGGGCAGATGCCTCAGTCCTTAGCCGATTTGGCCAACCTTGAAGCACTGTAAGTTAAAATGCACGTCAAGGCAATTGCGAAGTTCAAGAGGCAAACGGCATTGGATGGGGCAGTTGATATGTGCATGGGTGAATGCTTCGTCTGTAGCCCCAGACCAGAACGACATCTCACGCTGGCTACAGTTCATACATATGAGGATCCTTTAGAGAACCTAATGCTAATGCAACCATGATCACCCTAGTGAAGTTCAAGAAATAGGCTGGAAACAAAACTCAACTGGAAAGATAAGATGAGACTGTGAAGCGGCTGGCCTGTGAAAACCTGTTACCCAACCACATGACGCCCGTTTTTTCGCTCTGCAGGGACATACGAGCAACACCCATTTTTTCTCTGCTGCGGTTGCCCCAACCTTGTTCCTTTGGTGTCTCCAATCCCTCCCACTCCTCTCTACAGGGATGTGAGTGTGAACAACATCGTTGGGACAATCCCAGTCAACATTGCCAACCTCAAATCCTTGAAGTACCTGTAAGCTTAAACGACAGATAATGCAGTTGGTAGGGAGGGTGATCATGTCAGGGTGTAGAGAGAAGCATGAGGGTGCTGAAGGGGGTAGGGTGTAAGGAGGGGGAAGCAGGTGGTTTTGTGGTAAATGATAGGCAAAAACCTGAGTATACCTTGCACGAACTTTCTGGGTGCATGAAGATGGGAAAATTAGTGACTACCTGCAGCATTTGGAGTTTTCTGTAACTTATGCACAACCGATCGATTCATCTCAAGAATATCGTGTCTGCATTCTATTCAATTGCATACGTTTTCTTGCCACACAGTGAGCCGCCCTCCCACAGGTCTTTGCTTGTCCTCTCTATCCAACTGCATAATCCCTTTCGTTTCATGGCCCCCTCGCCCCTGATTCACAATAATATAGCATGGGTCAAATTGTCTTTGCTCTTAACCGTGGCTTCTTCCTGCACTCCATGGTTCATCACATACAAATGATTGACCTTTTACTCCATTTTCACTTCCTCCGCTAACTATGTTGGAAAATACGCGTATTGCGTTTTATACGCTAGCGTATATACGCTTGCGTATATACGCTATACGCTTGGATTTGGGGTCCAATACGGCAGGAATACGGCTGCCCGGGCAGGCAAAAAAATTTTGCCCGGGCAGGGAAAAAAAACTGGCGGGCAGCCGGGAGAGGGGGGGTGGGGGCCCGGGGGGCAGGGCATCAAGTTTGATTTTTTCTTCTTCTCCATTAAAATAACTTAACACAGGCATTTGTCACATCAAGAGCTTACTGCTAGCCCCTACCACTGCTATCACTGCTGCTACTACTTCTACAGCTGCTGCAGCCACTCTCGCCCACTGCTGCTGCTGACTGGTCCACTGCTGCTGCTGTTACTCCCACTGCTGCAGCTGCCTGCCCCCCTGGTGCTGCCGCTGCCACTCCCCCTGCAGCTGCCTCTGGTGACGGGTCTACTGGTACTCGTCCTCCATGACGAGATCCTCCCCCTCCTCCTCCTCCAGGTCGTCCTCCAGGTTGTACCCCGTGGGCACAGGGGCCTCGGAGCTGCACCCAGGAAGGACCAAGGACCCCCCGTCCTCCTTGTGCCAGTTGTGGACCTGGTGCCAGTTGTGGGACACATAGACCAGGTCCCGACACTTTTCGGCACCGAGGCGGTTGCGCTTGGCAGTGTGGACCGCCTCCCACACTGCCCAGTTACGCTCGCATGCGGCCGCTGAAACGGGCTGTGAGAGCACCCGACAGGCCAGTGCGGCAAGCTCAGGGTAGTCGGACCCATGCCACTGCCACCACCGCGCCATGCTCTGCCTCCCCTCCTTCACTGCTGCACGATCAGCAATGGCGGTGGGGAGCCCGAAGCTGCCCTTCAGAGTGATGAAGGCGTCGAGGCCGTCTTGCATCACGAGGGTTGCACGAATGGGCTCGCCATCCCTCATGAACTCTTTGTCTTCGTAGTGGCGGGCGATGAAGGCTTTGAATACCCTCGTGCACTCCATGTCCGAGGGGAAGATCCCCTCCTCCTGATTGGCCGGGTTTAGGATGCGGCCAACCACATGGAGGGGGCACGCCATGCTGCCGTCCCACCTCCTTTTCACCATGCGGCGGATGGCATTGGCGTCCGCAGCGGTGAGCCCCTCCAGCCGCGCCTCCTCCAGCTTCTCATCGACATCAACGGTGAGCTGCAGCATGAGGTCGTACATACGACCCATCATGCCCTTCGCCGACGAGTCGGTGGCGCGCATTGCCATGAACGGCAGCCGCATGAGGTTGACAAACTGCAGGGCCTTGGTCCACCAGTCGGAGTCGAGTATGGCAGCGCTGAACGCCTCGCTGCCCGGCTTCCTCCCCCCATCCGCGAACCTGGCCCACTCCTCACTCAGCACAAGCTGAGTGAGAGACATCCGCACCTCGCACAGCCGGGACACGGAGATGAATTGGGTGCCGAAACGCGTGCCGGCCGGTTTCAGCACCTGTTTCCCCTTGCCCCCCTCCACCTTATCGCTCCGCATGTAGTTGCGGGTGAGGTGGTGCTTGCGGACGAAGGAGGTGATGATGTTGGCCTTCTCCACCACCTCCTTCGCCCACGCCATCCTCCCGATGTCCTCCATGAGGAGGTCGAGCACGTGCGTGGCGCATGGCACGTGCTCGATGTGGGGGTGCTCGGCGATTAGGATCCTGCAGGCCGCGGCGTAGTTCGAGCCGCCATCCATGCAGAAAGCGACGACGTTCTCCGGCCCAACGCGCTGGATAATAGGGCGGAGAATACCGGCAATATAGCCGCCGGTCTTCATTTCCATGTTTGTGTCCACAGCATCAGTAAAAACTGCTCCGGAGTCGTTGATAAGGAGGACGTTGGCGATGGGCCGGCCGTTCTGGTCCGTCATCATATCGCTAGCAATGGTGACGCCGCTCCGCCGCCAGCTGCTGGAGATGGGAACCAGCGCGGCCTCGATACTGGTGCGGCAGTCGCGCAGGCCGGCACCGCCGATGTACTTGCGCTTCGGGGGAACGTAGGAAGTGCCGGCGCGAGCGATGGCGGAGACCGCATTCCGGAAGAGGACGTGGTCCGCGTGATGCTCCGGCAGGCGCAGACCAGCGAAGAGGAGGCAGAGCGCCCGGTCCGCTTCCTTCTTACGGCAGGCGGACTCGTCACCGAAAAAATTGGTGATGCGCCCCTTTTTGCCGCTGCCGCAGCCGTTAACCGCAGACAGCGCTTGCTCCTCCGCCTCGCGCTTCCCCTCCCGCTCCCTAATTCGTGCCTCGTACAGCGCCTTAACTCCGTCGCGCACGTCTTGCGTCACCGCGGTGCAGAGGGTCACATCGCGACGACGAAGTTTGTTCCACTCGGCGAGGTGCTGCGCGCAACGCGTCATCCCGCCATTGAAGGTGTGCCCGCAATAACAGCAGCGGCGGTTTTCCGTAGTCTTGCCGTCCGCATTAAGCGCGGTTTCGAAATGCTTAAAAATAGGATGCGACGCATCCGTAACGTAAACAGTGCCGGAGGAGGAGGCAGCCTCGCCATCGTTAGTAGGTGCGGGCACGCTCGGGGGGGTTGATGGGGTGGACGACGCCATGACCACTACGGTGAAGTAAGAGGGGAACTGAGCTAAGCTAAGCTAGGGGAGGGAGAGGTTGGAGTTGGAAAATGAAAGGAGATGGTGATTCAGATCTAAACTATGGCGGGAATGGGGGACGACAAACACGGGATGCCTTCCCTCCACGTCCACGGCTGGTGAGGGGTGGGCGAAAAACCGCGGGCGAAAATTTCTGAGAGTTCGCGATGTCGCGAACTCGGCAAAAAAATTTTGATTTTTTTTTTTTTTTTGCCGGGCAGCCCCGATATTGCGTATCGCGTATTCCAAGCGTATCAGCGTATTGCGTATATTCGCAAGCGTATATACGCAATACGCAAAGCTTGCTGTGCGTTTTTTCCAACATAGTCCGCTAATCCACCTCCACACCCTATCCTCACACTCTGTCCACCTCTTCGAAACATCCCTTTGAGCGTGATGCAGCATCCTGGGATACAACCAGCTGGTGGGGATGCTACCCTCTCTGGCGCTCATGCCCTCCCTCAAATTCGTGGTTGCAGGCTACAACTTCCTCACCGCTGCAGCGGAAGACCCTCCAGCATGCCCCACGTACCAGCTGGTGCTGCAATTCAACTGCTTCCCGAATAATCTGACCATTTGCAGCAGCCAGCAAACCCAGAAGAATGCCACCTGGTGCCAGTCGTTCTGTGGGAACGAGCCACAAAATTCTCCTTGTAGCGGCCATGGAGTGTGCTCTTACCAGCCACCAAGCACCGATGCCAAGTGTGCTTGTGACTATGGGTATACGGATGGGACTGCTAATGGCACATGTGTCCCACAACAAGGTATGGCAAGCAGACTCCAGACATATTGATACCGTTTTACCATCCCTAAATGGATGTATACTGGACTAATTTCCGTGTCCAGACCTGGCTCTTCTGTGCACACTCTCGACATGAACTCCATCACTCATCCCTTTACTCGTACTGGAATGAAGCATGCCCCCATCCACACAAGCGCCACCTCATGCCACATTACACACTATTCCTTCTTGTTCACTAATCCCCGAAATACAATGGCATTTCTACTTGCAAACTTTTACTCCAGTTCCCTCTCATCTGCCGTTGTTTATCATTCTCAGGGCCGTACATCCCCCCGCACCTCTCCTCCTACTCGCACCCAATGGCTCTCTTCCAGTCGGCCTCCTCTGCTCCCAACGGCTCCATCTTCCTCTCCTCTGCGCCATCCACTGCATCATGGGGAGCAGCCTTCACACAGCAGCCCATCGCCCTCTTCCTCCCCACCACCCGCAAGGCGCCCTGCGACCAGCCCATTGCCTTCTCCGTTTCATTTGCATTTCGGATGACTCCTGCTGCTGCCAGTGCAGGCAGCACCGCAGGGGAGGGCCTGGCATTCGTGGTGACTTCAGCTGCACCGCAGGGGGCTGCAGCGAGTGTGGGGCTGGGAGGGGTGGGGCGGCGGAGTGTGGGGGTGGAGTTTGACTCGGTGCTGAGTGTGAAGCACAGCGACCCCAACGACAACCACGTGGGCGTCAATGTGGGCGGCTCACCTGTGTCCCTCGCCTCTGCCACGGCCCCTCTCATCCTCAACGACGCCCAAACCAAGCACGCCTGGATCCACTACGACCCATACGCAGGTGGCACTCTCCAAGTCTTCCTCTCAGCCTCCAAACAGCAGCCCTTAAAGCCTCTGCTGACGGCAAGAGTGTCACTGTGCGGCGCGCTCAAGCCCACCATGGGCGATGCCTCCTTCCTCTTTGGCTTCGTGGCTGCCACTAACAGCACACAGAGGCACGACATACTCTGGTGGAACATTGAGGCAGGTGAGCAGGAACATGGTGGCTTGTTCCTTTGTGGTGTGCCTGTGGTGGCTAAATGCAGTATTGATAAAAAGTTGGCTTCACATGCAGGGTTTTTACTTTTTCTTGATGCCTTTTTTCTGCTTACTCAAAACGGATGTTTTCTGGTGACGCCCCAGCTCATCAAATGCATTTGCGTGCGTATCTGTGCGTGCACCTGTGGTCGTGGATGTGTGTATCTTCCTTTTTTTCTGTAGGCAAAGCAGCTACGGTGAACTGGCAGAGTCAGAATCCTGGTACGGCATACCACCTTCATTGCTAGTTCATCCCATATAACCGCTAACTATCCAATCCCAAGCATCCCATCGTCCACTTGAAATCAGTCGATGACCAAGCATCCCAAGCATCTGCATTGATTCATCCAGATGGGCCGTTGAACTATCCGCTTTGAATGTCTCCAACAAACCCTGCGAGCCACCAGGTAGTGCATTCGGGAGGGTGGCATCAAACGAAGAGGTGGCAGCAAGCAGCGAGATTCTGCCCTCTTCTTTCCACTATGCCAGCATTGCCTTCCATTCCAATGCGGATGGGCTGCCTTTTTGGAATCCTCCTTCCTTTGCCTCGTGGATGCGACCTGAGTCAAGTTGGCCCGTGAAGAACCAGCATGGATGTGGTATGGATAGGATGCAGTACTGAGAGGGATGTTGAGGTGGATTCAGCTTTGCATTGCATCAGACCACTGTTTGCTGCTCATGCTTGAACGCTTAACAGTATTTGGGTATGTGCATTGCTCTTCAGTCCAGCATGTATGCCATTTGATGTGCATCGAATCTACTATGCTCTAACTCATCCCCACTCTCCACCCCTTCGCCCCCCCCCGTGGCACCTTCCTTGCCTTCAGCCGACTCCTCGGCGTACGCAGTGGTGGCAGCGGTGGAGGCAGCCTACAGCATCATGGGCAACTTGTTCCAACCCCCCCGGCTGTCTGTGGAGGCTCTGCGCATGGCCCTCTCATCCAACTGCGACGACATGTCTCCCCGCGATGTGCTGGCCTTCCTGGCAGCTGCCACGCGCAAGGGAGGTGGGCTCGTGGATGAGGCAGCAGCAGCGGGCGCCAGTCAACGCAGCATGGCGTCCGCGGGCCGGCGAGAGAGGCTGCAGGTGAGGCAAGGCGAGTAGGTGGGAGAGGCTGCAGGTGAGGCAAGGTGATTAGGTGGGAGAGGGTGCAGGTGAGACAAAGCGAATAGGGAGAGGTGGCAGGTGTGGTGATGTGAGTGGTGGACATTTGGGGTGAAAATGTATCCCAATGCATTGGGAACTGGGTGAAAGGTACAAACAACACAATGGGAGATCATGGCGGATGGAATTGCCTCCTCTCTTTCTTTGCACTCCCAACTCACTGCCCTGACTATTTTCGCTTGCAGAAGACCAAGTACTACGGGATTCAGGGGTTTGAGGAGACCCCGTTTGGCGGGTGGCTGGGACTGCTGCTGGCAGTTCAGCGGCAGCCAGTGGTTGTGAGAATAGAGGCATCCGCACCTTCCTTCCTCAACTATGATGGGGTAGGTGGCCATGGTTGTACTCAAACAGCATGATGAGTGCAGCTGATAATTTAGTAACGGGAAGCTGAGCAACCATGTTTCTAGCCCTTATACTGATGTGTACATCCAATCCCATTCCATTCCTTCTTACCACCCAGACACTCAAATATGCAGATGCCAGCTGCTTCCAGAATGGAGTGAACCACGCCGTTCTGGTGGTGGGATTTGGTGTGGGGGGTAACATGTCCAGCCCCTTCAGCCTGCCGGTGCCACTCTGGGTCATCCGCAACTCGTGGGGCAGCGAATGGGGGGCTGCGGGGCACATGTTCATGGACATGCAGAGCGGCCCTGGCATCTGCGGCATCAACACACTGCCTGGCATTTTTCCGGTTGTTAGGGGTACGCTCTTGCCTCCACGGCCAGCCTTTCCTTTCTCTGCTGTTATGCGTGAGACACAGAGTGCAGAGACGACATATAGGTGTCGTTAGTATGAACCCCAGTTCTTTTTGTAACGAAATATAAACTGGTGTGGACGAATGGCGCGGAGAGAGTATAGGCCATACTCTACCAAGGAAGGTCGCACAAACTCTGCCCTGTCATGCCCCATAGTACCGTTTCTTCTGTGCTACTGGTCTCATGTCTGTGTGATGCGTGGTGTGTCCCTGGCAGCTGCTGCTGACCCGTGTGGCAGCAAGTCTGTGAAGCTGGCAGCATCAGCGGGAGTGGCATCAAGCAACGCGCTCAACCCGTGTGGGCAGTTCAAGTGCTCCAAGGCCGGATCATCCAATCGCTGTGCCTGTGCTTCTACCCACTTTGTGGAGGCCTCTCACCCCGACGGCTCAAAAACATGCGCCTATGGTGAGCCCATCCCCTGCGTCCATCACGCTACATCTCCCTCCGTTATCATAGCCCCTTCCCCACTAACGCCTTCTCTCCACCTCTGCCCTGCATGCCCCTACCAGTGGACGCCTGTGGGCTGGCAGGCAGCAACCCGTGTGTGGTGGGCACGTGTGTGAACGATGGCAGGGGCAGCTACTCCTGTGTGTGTCCCCCGGGGTTCATCCAAGGCACCACCGCGACGGGAACCCTCTCCTGCGCTCCTGGTACTCTTACCTCTCCCCTCTCTTCCTTTTGCCCGACCGCACCTCCTCACTGGTGAATCTGTGGGGAATGTTTACGTGGCAACATGAGGGACAATGTGGTAGGGTATGCACCAACAGAATGAAGCAGAAACACATAGGTTTGGTAATAGACATAGAATATGGAAATCAACTATTGGTGTTGGTACTACTAACCAGCGGTTGGTGTTTACGCATCAGCACTCTCTAGAAATTTAGTTATTCCTGCGTTTGGCACTAGTGTCTAACCATGTGTTTGGGTTTCAAGAGATAGTAGTATGCTCCGCACTGGCCGCAAGTCTGGTAAATCTTTACAGATTTGTTGGCTGACCATAAGTTCGGTCCTTGGTGTAGTTCAGTCTTCGGCATGATACCCTGGCCAAGGATACTAACTTTGCGCCTGCTTTGGTGATGTTTGCAGGTGACAGCAAGGGCAGCTACACGGTACTTGGCAGCAATGTGCGGTGCTTTCACTTGCTGCCTGTACTTGGCCTCACGCTGGACCAACTCAAGCAGCAGAACAAGGTCAGCATTCTTCCCGTCTTTCTGGCCCTCTTCGTCACATTTTATCATGGTATCTCATGTCAAGTCACTAGCGCTCTTTCTCCCTCATGCCTGCAGAAGCTTCCTGCACCAAGCCCATCCCAGTGAACTCCAAGCTGATTGTGAAGCTTCCTGTGCCCTTCCACCTGCTCTCTCTACTATACCATGCAACCTGTGAGTGTGCCCACCCGGTCCCCACTGCAACAATCTCTTACTCTCTTGCTGCTTAGATAAATGCAGAGTACTTCAGCCGTTTCCAGTCTTAGTGTATACTTTCTAAAGATGGAAACTAGTTGAATGCATTGGTTGTGCTGTGCGCAGGGTGACGGCTGTGCATCAGTGCAGCCTCTTTAACCTGACCGAGGGGTGCCCCGTGGAGGGCGAGGCATGCGGGGAGGCGGTGGTGGGGCTCAACCCCTGGGCTGGACTGTGCAGCGCTCACGGGCAGCCAGGCCGTGTGTGTGGAGAGGGAGGAGAGCAAGGCGGGGGTGGTGGCAGTGTGTGAGCAGCAGTACGAGGTGCAGGGCAGTGGCGGCTGCGATGCTGCAAGGATGGCCGTGGATCCACCTCTGAGCCCCTTGGAGTTCCACCGCCTCAACCCCGGCATCAACTGCAACACCCGCCTGCCGACTGCATCGATAGAGCGCTACTCAGAGCGCAAGGTGGGGCACTTGTGTACTTCATCAGATTCAATGCAAACCCTGTCATTCTCACATCTATTAAAGGATCTCACCTTCTGGATATCCCTGCATGTAGGTGTGCATTCGCAGCAACATCAGGTTCAAGACAGGCACATGCCCAGGGGGCACCTACACCATTTCTGCTGGCGACAGCTGTGCAATGATTTATGTGAAGGGGTTTGCCAGCATCAAGGGCTGCTACAGGAAGATGAATGGATTTGAGTGCCTGGAGAAGTTGCCCGTTGGGACAACTGTATGCACCCCTGTTGCTTCTAGTGCAAGAATTGGGACATGCATTGGGGAATAGTGATGCTCTAGGTGTATGGTTTGCCTGGTTTCCATTATGAGGGCGTTTGGAATATGAATGTGAGGCCAACCTGCCTCTGATTTCCCAGAGATCTTGGAGGGATCGAGTCTGTTTTGACAGCCAAGTTAGATTTTCAGGAATGCCTGCCATGACAACCATCTGCACCCACGATGCCATTAGTGCCTGAGTGGTGATTTTCTCAGCCGGGGCATAAAAATGCAGCACCTCCAATCAGGGTCTCAGATTCGTTTTAGGGAGGTTGATTGGTCAGGCCTACCCTTCTGAGAACGCATTCTTGTCAGGGTAGTTTCCATTTTTCGGCCTGAAATTTCAGGCTGATTTTTTTTTAAATGCCGACGAATCAGGGTTGGGTTTTGAAACGCGCTGAATCAGTTCGTTGCGTAATTGAGAGAAAATCAGTGTTTTCAAGGAACTGCCAAATCCCCACCTACTGGCAGCTTTCGCGCAGTTTTTGCTAAGGACAGACCACGTCCCTCACACCTGCTTTAGCTTACCTCGGACAACCAGAATGATTACTTTGTCCGAGGTCTGGTCACGCCCCTCACAACTGCTCCTGATCACCTTGGACTTTTGCGTGATTTGGGCCTAAGGACCAATCACAGCCTCACACCTGCTCCAAGTTCGCTCGGACCACTGGCGAAACTGATTGGGGGGTCGTGGCCAGATTGGATAGGGTTCTTCTGTTTCAGGCTAAAATTCAGTAGAGGCTGATTGGTCAGGCCTGGCTGAACAGGACCACACACTTTTTCTGGCTTACGAAACTAGGAACACAAAATTTTCAGGTTTGGCCAAATTTGAATGCTGGAAAATCAGGCTATGCCCTAAAAAACAGCTTCTCAGGCCTTTTTAGCCTGAAATCTGAGCCTGCCTCCAATCCAACCTTGATGTATGAAAAAAAAGGCAGCGCTAGCCGATTGCCTGGTTCTTTCACTTGCCCCACCAGGGGTTCAATGTATAGCGATGCACAAACGGGTGGGCAGTAGGCGACGGGTCAGGGGACGGAGGAGAACGAGGGGGAAAAGAGCCGGAGACAAGTCCTAGGGAGGTTACAGCGGGCTGTAGGCGGGGGCAGGTGGAAGGGGAGGTGCTGTGGGAGGGATGGGCAGGCAGACAAGGGAACCAAACGAAAGGCCAAGGAGACGAAGGCAGCAGGCTAAGGTGACAGGCTAGGAAGTAACCTAGGCTAGAAGTGTAGGCTAGGGTGGGAGGAGAGTTGGGACTACGTAGGGCGGAAGCACAGTGGCTAGGGTCTAACCTAGCTGTTACCATATCGAGATGAAAGAAGCGAGTGAGTTTCACTGAATCAAGACAGTGTACGTATAAAGGGGTTATCCCCAGCACAAACTGGTCCTAGTTAGCCCCCAGGGCAACACGTGTGCGGGGGTGGGGCGGCAGGTGGAGCTGTGTGGGGAGGTCACGTCGGATGCGGCATGTGAGGCGACATTTCAGGCGCTCAACCCCGCATTGGACTGCTGGTCGCTGAAGCCCTCCTAGGCGGTGTGCATGGAGAGAGACCCCTCAAAGACCAACCTGACGGTGGTGTGCGACCAGTACTACTGCGCGCGCCTCAACGACACATGCCACAGCATCGCACAGCTGGCGGAGCTGCCTCTCAGCCCCGTGGAATTCTACCGCCTCACCCCCAGCATCAACTGCAACCAGCTCATCCCCTTCAAGAACTCCACCTGCCTTGCCACCACCTTCGGTGCTGAGGCGAGTTCCTTGGGTGCATACAATGTGTTAAAGACACTAATACATTCTGCACATTTTATGCTTGGGATGTAATGTGTTACACCACTGTGTGCACCTGTTGCCAGCATGCCCATGTCTGGCTGCCACCTCCTTGCTCTCTCCCCATGGCTGCAGGTGTGCATTGGCAGCGTCACCAACTTCACTGCTGACATCCGTTCAAGGACCAACACCTACACCATCTCACCCAGGGATGATTGTAGGTATATCCAGCTGAAGTATTTCTACAGCATCGAGAGATGTAACAGAAGAATGAATGGGTATGAATGTGTAGACAAGTTGAGACCTGGAGTCAGAATATGCACACCGAATGCAAAAATGGCTCGAAAGGGGAGCTGTAGCATTTGATGAAATGAGATGCACATGCGAATGCAGGCATTGTCTCTCATGTGTGTCAACTTATACATATGTTGTAATTGTATAGTTCTAGGCTAGAAGAGTTCGTGCTCTTAGAGAGTACAACTCCAAACCCTATAACACCCTGTATGCTCATGCTTGAGTTCATTTTGCTGCTCTGAGATGGTATCAGAATAGGTAGGTCCCACCCACCCGCGCTTCCACCAGCCTCCCGGAGAGCACCCCACCCTAGCCTACCATAGATCGCTCCTACCCTAGCCTACAGCGCCTGCCCTAGCCCGCTGCACCGCGCTGGCCTTAGCTCGCCGCGCTGGCCCTAACCCGCCGTGCTGGCCCCTAGCCTGCTGCGCCGTGCTGTGTTGGCCCCCAGCTCAATGCGCCGCACTGGCCCAACTCACCGTGTCGGGCCTGTCTCGCCGCCTAGTTAGCTGCGAAGGCCCCCGCTCACCACGCGGCCCATAGCTCGCTGCCGGCCTTAGCTCACCACAGTCACCAGCTTGCCGCCTGCCTCAAGCTTGCCGCCGGCTCCAGCTCACCGCCGGCCCCAGCTCGCCGCGCGGCCCCCAGCTCGCTGCCGGCCCTAGCGTGCCGCAGGCCCCAGCTCGCCGCCTGCCTCCAGCTCAACGTCGGCTCCGGCTCTCATTGGCTCCAGCTCGTCGCCGGCCTTCAGTTCGCCGCCGGCCCCAGCTCGCTGCTCGGCCCCAACTATTCTCCTCCCGGACGCGGAGGGTCGGACTGTTAATTTGAGGCGTCGTTCATCGACCTGTGCCGCCAGCTGAAGGGTCAGCGCTCGGATGGCCAGTCCCTGGTCGTCGACGTCGATGGTAAGCTGCCGCGTACCACCGTGCCGCTGCGTTGTCGTGTCGCCATGTAGCAGTGTTGCCATGCCGCCATTCTGCCATGCCACCGTGCCGCCGTGTAGTAGTGTCGCCGTGCCCCCGTGCAGCCGTGTAGCCATGTCGCTGTGCCGCCGTGGTGCCGTGTAGCTGAGGTCATGCCATGGCGGACGCTGTGCTCCGCCTGGACGTGGAGGGGTGGGCGGTCGACTTCGATGCCTGGCTTGTCGACCTTCGCCGTCACCTGACAGGTTAGCGCCAGGACGGTTACTCCCTGGCTGTTCATGTCGATGGCTTGCTTTCCGGCCCCCTCGCGCCTGCTGCCTTCCCTGATGCCCCCACCCCTGCTGAGCGTGAGGCCTTTTCTGCTTCTGCGCTTGCTCGCACTGTCTAGGAGTCGCGCGATGCTATAGCGCAGCTTGCCATTAGTTACGCCCTCCCCCTGTCTGAGCGTCCCCACTTTACCGCTGTAACGAACGCCATGGAATTCGTAGATGCCATAGTTGTGCGCTACTCCACGGCCGCCTCTGCCTCTACTCGCCTCCTTATCCTCCCCATGCTGTTCCCTGATCTAGCGGCCTTTCCCACTGTCGTTGACCTAGCCACTCACCTCCGTGCGCTTGAGGCTAGCTACCGCGCCGCTAGCACTAAGGCCCAGCTCATTGCTTTCCTGCTGCCGCTTTGCGCTACCCTTTTGCCTGATTGCCACACGTCTTCCGGAATGCTTAGCCACTGCCCGCAACCACTTCCTTAGTCAGCACCCAGATGACCTCACTCTTACTGCCTTTGTCACCGCCATGACAAAGATAGAGACCCGCCAGCGCACTATCGCTCAGTCTAGCGGTAATGCGGCGGTCGCTATCTTTCAGGGCTGTGCTCCCTCCCAATGTACTTATGCTCACGCTTCTGCTGCTTTCGTTGAGACAGCCCCTGCTGCTGAGACCGCCGCTGTGGCCTCTGCATAGCCGCATTATGGTAGGGGCCACCGCTCCATGGGGGGGCGTGGCGGAGGAAGGGGTGATGGGGGTCGTGAAGGTGGAGGCCAGGGCAGTGGCTCAGACGAGGGGACCGAGGCTGGTGCCCCGGATCAGCAGCAGCAACACCAGCCTCAATAGCAGCAGAAGCAGCAGTCGCAGCAGCCGCAGCAGCAGTAGCAGCTGCAGCAGCAGCCGTGGGGCCGCCTTCCGTTGGGGTAGCCCAGTGCCTCTGGTGGTGGTGGCCGCAATGGCGGCCCTTGCAGCTCGGCATCGGGTGGCAGCTTCGGCGCTGTGGGTTGCCAGTACCAGCTCTAGATCGGCCCCTTCTACGGCACTGTGTGTGGTCATCCCACTCACACTCCCGCCCGCTGCTTCCGCCACCTAGACGGCCTCTTCCGTCTCCGCTTCGGCCCTGCACCGGACTTCCCCAAATGACCCAATTTGGTGCATCGCGGTGTGCCTGTCTTTGAGTTAGACATGGATCAGGTTTGCTCTGCTTTGCATGCCATGTATGCTTATGTCCCTATTGTGACTGGACCTTATAACCCTATGTTGCCTAGTGTAGGTATGCCTCCTGTGTGTTGTCTAGGCTCCCTTGCTGCGTTAGGCATAGGACCTTCTGCTTTGTTTAGTCTAGGCTCTAGACTAGCCCCTCTGCCGGATGCTGCTACCGCCTCGCTCTCCTTTATGCTTGACTCTGGCGCATCTGCCTAATTCTTTCGAGACCACATTGCGCTCACGCCGCTTGCCACCCGTGCTGTTGTCGCGCTTGCTAACCCCTCCTCTGGTCGGGTAGTTGCCCGTAGCTCCACTACCCTTCCCTGTCTGGCGGTTTCCTCGAGCTCGCTTACAGGCCTGCACATCCCCTCGTTCTCTAGGAACCTAGTTGGTGCTAGCTCTCTTCATAACATCGGTGTCACCACTACGTTCCCCGGACACGAGCGGTACACGGTGTGTACCAACGCCGCAACAGGTGCCCCCCTCACCACGTTCCCCCGGGACCCGGTGTCTGGCCTGTTCACGCTCGACACTGAGTTTCCCTTGGTTAGGGCGTCCCCCCAGGTGCCTGCGTCTACCCAGGTTGCTACGGCTTGCTCATGTCGGTCGCTCACTCACCCGTCACTTCTGTGGCACCACTGTCTCGGTCACCCCGCACTCCCTCATCTGCGTCACACGTTACAGTAAGGTCTTGTCTTAGGTCTCACTGCATCGCTTCCTCCCCTCCCTCCCTCACCTGCGCCGCCGTGCACGCATTGCGTCGAGGGCTGGCTGCGCCGTACTCCTCACTCCTCCTCGCTTCTCCCTGCCACCGCGCCACTCCATTCTCTACACCTGGACGTCTGGGGCCCAGCCCCCGTCCCCGGGCCGTGTCAAGAGTGATACTTTCTTGTGCTTGTCGACGACTACAAGCACTACACCACGGT